GATGGCAGGCGCGAACCGACCTTTCCGCGGCCTCGGACGATCGCAGCGATCCTTGAATCCCGAATCCGTGGAAACGACACGAGTCACGCCATCGCCCGATCCAAAATTCCCGAGGGACGAGGAACAGATGCGAAGGTCGAATAAACACGCGACTCATCTCCGATCGCCGGTGTGGCGAAGCATATGGTCTTCTACCCCCTTGCCCCCCCNGCGAAGGTCGAATAAACACGCGACTCATCTCCGATCGCCGGTGTGGCGAAGCATATGGTCTTCTACCCCCTCCTCCCCCCCCCCCCCCCCCCACCCCCCCCCCCCCCCCCCCCCCCCCTCCATATTTTGTAAATATTTTGTCTCCCAATGGACTGGATATCGTAAATACGTGTTCCCTTTTAAATTTACCAATGTTCCACTTGCGAATGCATTCGCCGGAACTTCGTGACCGCCGCTGCATGACTCTCCGGCTGCGATAAATCCCAATAATTAAATTGGATTCATCATCATCTCGGCTCGCGAATCGGCTTCGTCGCGGGATTTCCCGATCTGCGAACTTTCGCGAACGTTCCGGGCGATCAATTTTCGGCTTTCCCCCTTTTTTTGGCGTGGGTTTCTGGGCGAATTAGCACGCAAAGATCCGGCGAACGTTCATTTCCGATCTTGATTGCAAAAAAAATAATAATAATAATAAATAAAATACGTACCAAACGTACCATCAACATAAAAAGATTAGAACCAAGATAAGATGCCGTTGAATGTCGCTTTGCATTTTTATTTGAGAAATAAAAATGGATGGATCGATTCGGAATGACCTGTCCGACAGGACTATAAATATGACATATCGCGTCCCATACTGAAAATATGTGGTACCCCCGGGCTAAACATATTCCTTTATCGTTTCCGGAATGTTACGTAATCGTGTTTTTTTTCTCTCGTCTCGAGCGTCGTCTGTCGGTCCGAAAGCGAAATGAGATTTTTCCTGTCGCGAATAGACTCGCCCACGCGGAGTTCCCGCCTGATAATAAGAGACAGTCGGCCTTGAAGTCCATTCGTCGGCCTGGAAATCCACATGTCGGCCTTGAAATTGATGGGAGTTTTGAAAACGTTTCGGGAAATCTTCTGATATGCAGACATAATGAAACCATATTGTTTGCGCGAAGCCATGAACGATATCGAGTCCATCCGGGTTTGGCCTGGGACCCCTGGCAACCCTTTGTCTGACAACCCTTCGTCTGGCAACCCTGCAAACCGCGCAGTTCGTCTCTGTGACGGTCATCTCGACTTCCCACGGGAAATAACCTGAATCTATGCATGAAGCTCGAGCAGAGGGATACGAAAACGCTTCCCGTGAAGTTGCCCTCGATCACCGCGACCGTCGCCCTCGATCGCCGCGACCGTCGCCCTCGATCGCCGTGACCGTCACCTGCAGGCCGATGTCGCGCTCCATTAGTCACGACCGGCTGAATTTTTTTAATTTACCAGCCCACTTATAAAGTATGTTACGTATCGAAGATTTCATCGATGCATGAAGAAAACGCATGAGCGTATCGAGAGGAAGAAAAGAATAATCACGGAGATAGTTCCCTCTCGTTCGAAAGGAAATGGATCATCTCCTTTTTTTTTTATCGAAGAGCCGCAGACACAGGTGGAACCATGTCGTGTGGCGAACCATTTCGCCCCGCGAGCGAAGTCAGTCGAGGTGGTGCCGTTCCGCGCGGTTCCGAGGGGGATCTTTACGCGATCCGACTGCCATCGGAATAATCTCCCGATTAGTCCAGATCCGAAGATTTTAATTCTTTACTGCCTTCTTTTCCCGAACGAGTTGGATCAGTACGGCATGGAATTTCAAACCGGCACGGAATTCGTCGGCCATTTTGGCCGCACCTTTAACCTAATTATGCATCCTTCGAAGGTGGCAAAATTTATCACTGCCTGGCGTGTCCGACGAAATTTTTCGGGGAAAAGTCTCCATCTTTAATTATTATTAGCACGAATTATTGACGCGGAGAGGGGAAACCCGGTGGTTCCGCGCAATTAAACACCCGCGATCGCTTTCAGGCGATTTTCCTCGCACTCGAAAAAGGGGAGACGGCAAGTCACGATAAGAAATGAACTGGAAAAACTCGTCGCCAGTCAGAAATAAGTACCCACGATAAGTACCCCCCCCCCCCTGTACAATACCATTGTGCACAGAAAAATGTGCGAAGCAGGTCCCTCGGCGCTAATGGATCGCGGACGACAAAAATTGTTGCGGATTTGCTTCATCATCCGAGCTCCTTCAATTGCTTCCTCAGCCGATATGAAGCGTCCTGTTTTGTGCTTCAGAAAAATTTCTGCGGATATGCTGGGTTCGTTTTTCTTCAGGAGAAAGTACTCTGAAGCTTCATTCATGGAGGTGTCATTTTTTTTTTTTTTTTTACAGAAAGGAACAGTAAAAAAAAAATATTTTAAAGCTTTTCCACGTGTCGAACTGCCTGGACTTTTCTTTGGCAGCATTCTTTTAGCGGCGTTCTTGGCGTGCTCAGCGCCGTCACGCTGCAGCCGAAGAAGAAAAACATGCGATAAAGGTGCGCTTCGAAAATAAGGGCCGGAGAGGAGAAGGACGACACGGAACGCAGCCGGCGATTCCGTCGGAAACGTCTCACTATTTATCTTTTCCGCGTTGTTGAAACTTTTGAGCGTCCTCGTCAAGCATCTTACAAGCAGAACCGAAAAACTTGCATTGTTGGAAAAAAAAATTATTTCCAGGGTCAAACACGTGTTGTCATCGTTGGGGCTAACTCAATAATATAAAAATTAGCTTAAAAAAAAAACTTTAAAGTCTTATCTATGAGTCAGCCCAGTTTCAGCCTAATTAATTTAGGAACTCAAAATGAGCGTTAGTTTAACTCACATAGTTTGGAACACCCAGTAGTTGTGGAAATTGCACAAACATCAAGTATCGATTATTTATGAATAATATTGTGTACCGTATCGAATAAATGTAAATACGTTGCACCGGTTTATCGGTAACCTAATTGCACGACTCCATTAAATTAATAACGATTTATTTCTGATGCTGTGATGCGACCAATGCCTTTTTTTTATCTTTTAGTTATTTTTTTCGTATTTTCCTCCTTGGACAAGTAAATTTTGGACTTGGTTCTTCTTCACATTACAAAATTTTTTTTTTAGTGAGTTACTTTTTTCCCCATTTCATTTTCTTCCTGGCATTTTGTTACTAGGGTCTCATGAAACACCCTCATGTTTCATTTTCGTTTCTGCTTGAAACTCAACTGATTTTTCTGGCTTCTGATTATAAGTTGATTTTTCCCCGAGACGTCCTTTTTTATATTAAGTGTAAGCCTTCTAGACCAAGCATGAACTCGGATTCGGAGAATCCTAATCCTATCCCGATTCCTAATCCTATCCTGATAAGTCGAAACAGAAAAGAAAAACGAGAATCCCAGAGTTTTTCCCTGTTCCATTGCATTACCTGATTACCTGATTCCATTATCCGATAAGCTTGAAGGTTCCATCACATCTGCTGCTATTTCTGTAATCAGCGTTTATAATTCAAGAAAAGCCTTTACGTTATTGCTCGTGAAACTAAAAATACGAAGGTGAGGCAATTTTTCGCATTTTTAATGCGGCCTTTCGTTTTTTTGTTCCCTGTGAGAACAAAAAGTACTTTCTGTTCTACGCTTTTCATGCCATCTGCACCGTGCACCGACTGAATTGGAATGACAACTTCATTTCATGGGGATTTTCGGTTTTTCTCTTTCCTTCTTCTTTTTCGACAGTAAATAATTGCTTATAAGCTTAAAAGCGTTCCGTCCGTCTTCAATGGGGAAATGTAGTGGCGTTCCGTCTCGCGTCGGCTCTAACGAATGGGTTTCATTCATTCTCGAAAGACCATGAATTCGGGACTCGGACTTGAATTTTCTTGATTCGCAGACGTGTGCCTTGAAGTTCGGGAAGAAATTTGAGGTAAATAATATAAGCGGTTAAGCAGAGAGAGAGAGATCTGGAACATGAATTCATTTTCTGACTATGAAAGTCAGATATGTACATAAATATACAACGTAATGCATTACGATCGTATGACTTTTACAGAAGTAATTTGAAATCGTGTGAGTTCGTCCAATTCATGAAACTCGTCGACTTGGGGAAGGATTTGCTTTTTTCTTGCTTGTGACACGGATTTGAGATTTGACTTGAACTATAACTGTCCCTTCGTGACTGCCGTGAAACACAATCTCCAATAATAGGATGAAGACGGAGCTGCGCTGTGATCCACTTTTTAGCAAGCCTTTCGTCCTAGACCTGTCTGATGGGTTCTCTCGTCAGATGCCTCGCCTGTTATCGCTAGTCAACCGTCCCTGACTGAGTCAGGGATGACGTGATATTCTTCCTAAGCTTTAGCGACTGCTGGAAGCATTTCAACAGAGGCTGCTGGATGTCCAGTGAAGTCTCGGCTATGAGTTGAATTTTTGCTTTTATTCTGATTCTCTCTTTCTCTCTCTCTCTCTTATATGCAGTATTAAAAATTCATGATCGGCCGACGTGAGACTTTGATTGATGGCCTCTCAGTGAATGCAAGCCTTGCCCTTGGCATTGCACATCTTAGTTGGGAGTTTTTCGAAAAGAAAATACGGTGAGTTACGAGTTATTTCCCCCATAGAAAAAGAGTGGCACATACTGCAATATTGTCGATATAGTAGAGAATAATTTTCTAGATAACGTAACTATAACATTTGTAATGGACCCAGTCATGCAGCCAGCATGTGACAAAGCACTGCTACCTGCATGAATGTTAATGAGTCTTGCTTTTAGGGTATTGCTCATTAGCTCAGCGAGCTGCACCGACGCAGAACTTTCAGCTTCCCATCTCAGAGCTCGTAAATAAAAAATGAAGCCCCTGCCTAAGTGAAGTAGATCATCGGGGTGCTCCTCGATGATAGAGGTTGTCAATTAGCCGTGTAAACATTCATGCCGGGGACCGAAGCGTGATCTGAAAGCAAGGCGGCGGAGGATCTTCGAACATTTATTCCGCAAATCGTGGGACATGTATACATTGCTGATCATGAAAAGCAAACACTTGGAAAAGAGATAGCGAGAACGTCAGAAAACGAGGTTGACTCTTCGGGGAGAATAATGAAAAAATCTTTGGCAGTTTCACGAGTTTGATTTGCTGGGGAGAGCAAAGGAAGGATCTTGTACTTTAGGGACAAGTCTTGCGACTCTTGAGGTTTAGACTTGAGATTTTTTTGCATGCTACAAAGGGCAGTTTGAATCTCGTTCACGCGGTCCTCGAATACGATGAAAATTTAACTTTTGAAGTCTGCCTGGTGTTGTCGGATCGAAAAAACTTCGGGGCCGCGTGAACGGGGTCCAAGACCCGGTAATTACAGAGACTAGTTCATCAAATCACTAAGTAAAAAGGCTTACAAAATAAATGCCAATACATGTTGGGGTCTGAGCACTGGGGTACAATATCACAAGTTTCAGCTAACACACCTTTTTTTTTCCACCACACAAAAGAAAATTTTTTAAATCACTGCAGGGGAGATTGAAGAAGAAAGAGGTTAAACTGGGATTTCCTACAATGTCATACTAACAGAGGAAAAAAATGTTGATGAGAGAGTGATGGAATTCTAAGCTTTCCTAGGGATGAACGAGAACATCGTCACAGCTTTTTCAGAGATGAGCCTTTCGGGAACATCGAAAACGAGATGAGATGGAGCTTGTCGCCAATATGGGCATACGAGACGGCTTTAGCACAAGCTAGACAAAATGGAGTCGCATCACACAGAACACGCACACGTCAGTGACGCTGACAGCGAAAGAGAACAGATTTGAACTTCAGTCCGTTTTTCTTCTCTCCATGTACCGTATATCTATGTACAGACGAGTATTGGAATAGGATGTGTTTGTCCCAGTGCTGCGAAGACTTGGGGCGAAGACTTGCACCTCACGCACGCTCATTACGGAATGGACCATCTTTCAACCAGTTTCCCCTGCGTGGCACCGCAGGGTTTTTCTTCCTCACTCGAACCAATAAGAATGAAGCAAGAACACACACAATATGCCCTTGTTGGGCGTGTCTCGACGCAATGTGTGTCGCGACAGTCATCACGCATCCGATTCATACGATCACCGCGGGCAGTGTTACGAGTCTCGCGTCTGTCTCGTCGTGACACATCGTTACGTTGTGCTGTGGGTGTGCTTCAACGTCACGTGTACTTCGACATGTTACGGCACGATTCGCGATGAAACTGTCACATTGGAACAGAAACTGTGACCCGGTTGTACGAGTTTACAGATTAAAACCCAATCGCTACCATCCAAACACATAGCATGTAGACAATGTCCTGACATAAAAGTGTTGCATCACAAGTTGGTGCGACACGAGTGCTGCAGCACGTGTGTCGTGCATCTCATTGTATCATGTTACATGTATCATGCACCCCATGTATCGTGAGTAACGCGTATGATGCAGTCGATGTTTTGACATGGATCTTTTGCTTCACAATGTGATGTGACGCAAGCGTTGCAGCACAAGATGTCTCCAAAGACGCAAGATGATTTGTTGCACGAGCACGCGTAGTGTACCACTGAGTACCGCGACCGGGCAACAAATGTCTGAACACAATACGTGTCGCGACACACGTTTCAACGCAACATCGCCACATAAAGACTTTTCAAGTTTTTTTTTTTTTACCAGCACTTGCCACAGACACTCGCAAAGAAAAACCTGTCCTGTCGGTCCACAAAACACACAAGCCAGGTTCTTTTTGATGCTTCACACATTTGAGAGAATACAGAGGGATCCTGAGATGGACTTGGAAAAAGGTAGTTGATATTTGTTTCTCCACGAGGGGGGGTGTCGAAGGTAGTCGATACTTGATAGACCGCAGGCGGTCAAAAGGGAATGTGGAGGGGAAAACGCCAAGTTTTCTCTCGCACGAGATCGTCCGAAGTCCATCTGTTTTCTCAGGCTTCCTCGCCGATGTTACGACACAAGCAAATGGAGAAGATCATCCCAAACACCTGCAAGGAAATCGATCCGTGTAAGCCTGCCCTCTAAATTCCCTCTAAATCCCCTCAAGGACGGATTCTGAAAGCACTGCACCTCCATTCCGCCGACTCCCAGAGCAATGATGATGAGTACGAGACTCTCCAGTTCGAACCAATTCCGGAGTTCCTGGAAACAGCCCTAGAAAACCACAAAAGGAAATTCGGTTTATGGGAAATTTCCCGCCGAATCCTTCGATGTTTGCAGGACTTACGATGGTGTATCTAGTTTGTCGAGTGTTTTGCGTCGATTGTTTGGTCTCGCACGAACCCGGGTCAATCGGCGTCGGTTTTTCCCATGCATCCGGATCCTGCAAATTCCACAATGCAAATTTCCTCGTATGGACTCGGAAGTCTTGTAAGTTTGCAGTTGTTGATTATTTTTTTTATACTCACGTTCGCGTTCGAAAGTCTGCAGCAAGTGTATGGGTAGTGCCTGTTCCCATACTGCGTGCTCCCAATCTGAAAGTGGCTCTGATTGTAGTCTTGATCCCCCTCGATTCCGCAGCATGCGAACTGAGCACAAAACAAAATTTAAACTCGTGAGGAAAGGGCGAACTTGAAATAGGAATCATCCCCTTTAAGGGCTCCCTGTCCCTTTCCCTCCTTTTCCCTTCACTGCAGATGATATTGATTGAGTTCTATTTTTATCGCTTTCTGTCCTCTTTCTGTAGGGCTTCCCTGCGTATCCAAAGGAAACCGGACGAAAAAATACCTTGAACTGAATGTAGTCCATGGAGTCCGTGAAGGTCTTGTGCTCCGGTTTCCCATAATCCCTTTTCAACTTCCCCTTGAGGTGGTGTTGAAGGTCCTTGAGGAGGAAGTCCCGGTAGATATAGCAGAAGATTCCGACGGTCAGCTCCGCACACAGGATCAGGAATAAGCACAGGAAGTACTGCGGAAGAACATGGCCTTTAAATGCCCTGCCTGGCTGGTCTGTGCATAAAGGGGATTGGACCGGGGATTTAGAGGGAATTTAGAGGGCAGGCTTACACGGATCGATTTCCTTGCAGGTGTTTGGGATGATCTTCTCCATTTGCTTGTGACACGGATTTGAGATTTGACTTGAACTATAACTGTCCCTTCGTGACTGCCGTTGAAGGGAAAAGGAGGGAAAGGGACAGGGAGCCCTTAAAGGGGATGATTCCTATTTCAAGTTCGCCCTTTCCTCACGAGTTTAAATTTTGTTTTGTGCTCAGTTCGCATGCTGCGGAATCGAGAGGGAGTATTATTGATGACCCGGCCGCGGTCCTTTCTTTTAACGAATCATTTTTCAATGTCCTCTTGGAGATGTCAAGTTCTTGATTGCTGAGTTTCTGTGGAACGGAAGTTTCCATCCAAAGGGCTGTCATTGAGACGTCAGCCGAGAGAAATGTCACCGTATGTGTGCACACTGTATAGGAGTACTCGAAACGCATGGTTTCCATTCCAAAATGACCGCCACTACAGAGCGTTTATGGCCAACGTCAGGAACCTCTTGAGCGCGGAGTAACATAAAATATGCATCACTTGGACTAGTTGTTTTTCCCAGCCAAAAGAAAAAAAAAATTTCATGATGGTTGGGAGGAAAATATTCTGGCGTCCCTAAACCAACAGCGCGAGCCTTCAAATGTGATTGTGAGCTTCCCGTGTTCTCATTCATTTCATTTCAATATTGATTCAATTTAATTCGATTAAGATAACTTCATCGTTCTTCTTTCCCTTTACGCTAATTTAATGTCATTTATTCCAGCAATTCCTTCAACTTTCTGGTTTAAGAGCAATATCACTCTAAGCCAATGATTCCACTCATTACAATCGTTCCCTTTACTTGAAATGCTTGCAATGCTCGAAATGCTTGCAATATTATATTTACAAAAGAATGAGTCTCTCTTACGGTGACAAGCATGCACTTGTTCTCCTGGAGTGCGCCGCAGCATCCAAAGAATCCAACGAGGATGACGAATCCCCCCAGGCTACAGAGGGCATAGGCCATGTAAGGAAGGACCTCGGATGCCCCCGAGGCATCCGACACCAGGCCGAACAGCCTCGTCTTTGAGGGATCCACGATGATCCAGATCCCTATCGCCAGCAGCACGCACCCGGAGATCTAGAAAAGCAATTCAGACACTGCTGCCAAACAAGTGAATTTAACAATAAAAATTATTTTGGTAAGGAATTTAATATTCATAAAGATTTTACGAAGCAACGCCATGAGGTGCAAGTCTTCCAAGAAGTCTTGCTTTTCTCTTCGACTTTATCGCCTTGGGTGGATTACGACTTTCATGGTCAAATGAACATCTATTTGGAGGTAATGACCGTATAATCAATTTTCCCTCGGCTGCAATCTTTTTTGATGGTAGGAGAGCCCTCACGTCACATTTCCAGCTTCAGCTACATTTGTCACCCATTAACGGTCAAGTTTCTTGGCACGCAAAAGTTCTAATGAACTTTTGGTTCTTTACTTAACTAGTTTTATTGCAGGAATCGAGCAGGTGAAAAACACTAAAACTGATATTTCCTGCGTCCGTCAGACGAAAAGCGGGTAGGTGATAAGGGAGAGAGGGAATAAGGTCTTGCCTAAGCTTTAAGCTTTGCTCTTCCCACGGAGGCAGGGAAGACTTCCTGTTAAATTTTGAGGTTTTCTGCTTTATTGAGCATAGGTCTCCGGCCTGTCTCGGGAAAAAAGATAAAGGTGCAGTATTGCAGCATAAGGAGTACGTTCACCTATCTGCGTTTCCACCCCCAGTTTTCTCTCACGCCGTTAATCGCTGATACTTGGCTTAAGATTAGTCTTTGCAAAGAGGCACTAAAAGATAAACTCCGACCCTCGGGTCTTCCCTTTTGAGTCCGATCTTACTTCATCTCGAACGTGAATGCACGGTCAATCCAAGATGATCTTTTCATGGAGCTCAATTTTTTTCCATCGCTGCCTTTCTTCTGTATAGAAGAATGTATGAATTTCAGACAGATATGGGATGAACTCAGAGAAAGACTTGGAATCTGGCCAATTCTCTTTGCATGGAAAACTGCTGTTACGGACGAACCCGGCTCACATCCAACACAACCGATGTTTCATGTTATGCTGAAGCAGATAGAATCATTTGCGTAGAGCACGGAAGGAGAAACAATAAAGCAGATGGTGGGAAGTAATCCGAGGAGAAGTTGTAATGGGGGACACGTGGACACCAGGGAACCGAGTCTTCAGAAGGCTCTTGCCGAAGGAAGATGAATGGTCTGCTTGTCTTCTTGATCATTTCTTCATTAGGAGTCATAGACCATTTTCCTTAATGAGGATGGGTCTGGAACTCTCGACAAGACTTCCGGGGAAAGACTTTTCCTTATATCCGGATAATTCGATTCGCCTTTATGGCCCCTGGATAGTGACTGCCCTTGGCGATAAATGCTCATTAAGCGGAAATGATTTATTCCTTTTCCCCATCACGAACGCGCGTTGGTGATATTACTTATGTAGTAGTAATAAAAAAAAGGGCCCGTAGAATGTAGATACCTCTTGCAAATCCTCTTGCTGGCTTCGTAACATCAATTCGTAGGAAGCTCTTAGCTTCACCATTTACCATCCCGGTACGTCAACGTTATTGGAAGTATATTACATTATCTCTGATGTAATGGAGGTTGGAAGGAGTCTGCATGAAGACTCTCTGCATTTCATCCATCGCGCGTCGAGATCGAAACTGTCAACTGGAGTGTAATGAGGAAGTGGAGAATCAGGGGAGTGGGACTTCCTTATATGCTAAGGGAGCCAAGACAACGACCTCGTCCCCCCTGCTTTCAGAAATAGACACACGCACGCACCCAGTCATAACACACACTCATCAGCCAGCACGGACAAACAGTCCCCGCAGTGCAAGTCTTTGTTTACACCCAGGCTCTGCGATTTATAGTTCTCCAGCGACTGAATGGATGAACCCTTTCGCATCTGAGAATACCCAGTAATATACATTTATGTCAGATTCATTCAATTTTAGTACGATAGATACAAACATCAGCGTCTTGGAAATTGTCAGCATTGGAACAGGATGGTCGTAATCGCTGTATCCCTACAAAATCCGAAGTCAATCATAACTGGCCAGTAAATGGAACCATTTCAAGGCAGTTCGCGGTAGTCCAAATGATACAACGCCAAAGAAACCATATAACATGGCGAAAGCCAATAAAGTTGACCAAGTAAAAGGCTCTTCGAGTGGCATCTGATAGTATATGAGCGTAGATCTTCCATCCGGATATCATCAACTTGGTCAGAGTTCCCTACTTTCATAAACAGGGAAACAATATATACTGCTTATTTCCTAGGGAATTTTTCTCTTCAGATCCCCTAAAATGCGAGGTTTTCATGCTTCATATCTCAAAATCATGCATGAGAAATTCGTGATGCATATTCATGGTTGTTCAATACTTTGCCACCCTTCCTGTACGGCGAGAAAAACGATGGTCGCGGAAAACCTACTTGTACAATTCAAGTCTGCATGGAAAATCTACTTAAAACAATCAACCGGAGACGGCGAAGGTCTTTCTAAAAACGAGCTGTGCTACCCCTCCAGCACACAATCAGTGCAACGCAGATTGGATACAAATACCGATCTCTTCCCGTCTAAAGATGCAAACCTGAATGAGCTCTCACGTGGCTCAGCCAGGTTTTCCACAAGCAAGATCGTTTACGTCGTACTGGGGGCAAATATTTTGGAAGCCCCTATGGAAGCCCATTTTCCCTTTACGAGTTTCATTCGTGTTGGTCCACTTCATTCGGGATCAGCATCCTTCATCTCTCTCAGTATTCAAGCATAAGCGGATCAGGAAATGGCCTACCAGTGTTGCTCGATCTGGAAATGATGTGCCATGTCTAGGTTTTATATGGAGTCGTTCATTTCACTTTCTGATGGAATTCCTTGGATCAGCCAGTAAATCTTGCATTGGGTTCGTTTCCATCCTTTCACTGATATGTTTCCGTTACATTAAGATTTTTTCAGTCGTTGACGGAACATTTGGTCATACCTGGGCAACGAATCACGTTGATAAACAGTCACGAGCTGCATACTTTCCAAAGCCTATTAGCATATTTTCGTCATTTTTCATGCAAATGCTCATGTTTTCTGACAGTCACCTCAGTGGCAACAGTTGGCTGTTACCTGATTGCTGCTTCCGCGTATCATCTTCGCAATTATCACAGAGCTTTTTGAAATTCGCTCAAAAGCCCCCCTGAAATTAATCATTCACTCTACTCTTATTTTCTTAAAATTCCTATTTTTCTCTGTACTTAAAATGATAAAAAAAAGAACTGTGCTTCATCTCGAAGTTACCATCTTTGCCATCGGAAGAGATCTATAAGTCAATATCAATAGACTGTCTGCATATGATAAAGGTATGGTGATAAATCGTTTTATGCCCTTTGCTACCTTTTCGGATAAATACTAGCAGGTGAACGATCGGACGGCAGTCACGCGACCCCTCTCCCTCGCGGTGCAGGTTCGTTGCACTTCGGCATCATCGGTACCATCTGGTGCCAATGCTCCTGCTTCGGGGAGCTATACCGGCCTTTTGCGTGGAGAGGTTTATCAGGCTGAATTTCGTAGCTGTCGTTTTTATTGAAAGTCTATGATGAATTCATTTTTTTTTAATAAGGGCAATACTTTTTTCCCGCCGAGTCCGGGAGCAATATCTACGGTGAATGAGCAATAAGATATGCAAGAGGTTTACAAAATAATACAAAAAGGGAATTAGGATAAAGATAATTAAAATTTTTAATGGGAAACAGTTGTCTTTTGCTTACTGTATTCTTTTAAGCAGTCGCATAATCGTGATAGCGGGGAACTCACCCAAAAGAAGAAATTGAAGGCGACCAAAACAGCCTTGGCGCATTTGGCCCCACAACCAGCCATTTTCTCCGATGCTTCGATACCCTGTACACACGAGAAAACATTCAGCGTCAGAAATTCATCTTCACATCACGTGCTACGGAACTTCGATAGCAATGGTTTCCACCATGATCTACTCATGACCGAGGCTCTTGACTCGAAGTTTTGATGGGAGTGTCAAGAGGCATCTTGCCCGAGTTGACACCCAGAGGTCGTTACCGAGGGCTAACTCTAGGTTGTTTTCTCCTTTCTTTCTTTCTTTTTTTTTAATCTTGAAGGGCAAAAAGATTGAACGGATTTTCTTCTTTTCTCAGAGTAAAAAGGGAGGGAAATTGGAGTTCGCGCTGGCTCGTTTTTGTGTAGGGTGTACCCAATCTTATGACCTGGGTTACAATCGTGCTTGGACCGGGGTTATGACCCGGGTTTGAAACCGCATCGCCAGTGGTTCAAGGCCACTCTGCAACAAGTCCGAGTCCTCCAATCCAGAGGAAGAGAGATTTGCACTTTTCCTTTCCATTTCACAGGAGTTGGCTCAGGAGTTTCCATTCCGAGTTAGAAGCCTGCTTCACGCTCATTTCCCACCGTTATACTGGCGTGACATCGTCACACTGGTGACGTCGTCACACTGGGGAAAAAAGAAGTCTTGGACTTTTCATTCTACGAACTGGTTGTGCAGCAAGAAAACAGCAACGAAATTCGCACCGTTTCTCCTCGGAATCAAAGGTGAAATTTTCGCTGATTTCCGGATCTCACCTGAGTTAACTCATGCGAGATGCATGCGATCCAGGCGTGGCAGAACGGGGCAGGAATGATAAATTGATGCGAAACACACGAACACCGTCTGAATTTCACGCTATGATTTTTTTTTCTAGGGCGTCACTCTTTCTGAAAATGTTTTCGGAGACTAACTTGAGTTTGTAGTCGACTCTCCAACTCCCGAAATGAATTTGACCGGCCCGTTATGTCGTAACTGCTTCTGTCGCAAGGATTCCTCGCGCAAGCGCTTCTCCGACGTTTGCGCAAATCGGTTTTGTTTTTATTGCGAGCCACCTGTCGCCGTCTGCTCGATAGCCCTTTTTTTTCATTGGGTCTACTCGTCCATGCTGTCACCGCGAGGAAAAGGCAACATGTTTGCGGATATGGAGATTTTCCCTCATAATATGATTGACGAACCGTGACCAAATCGAATGCCGGAAATAAGTTGAAAAGGGCGATCAAAAGTTTCTCTCGAAATACTTAAACATCTTAATAAATATCGTATCAATTCCTTACAACTAAAAGAAATTGCGGTGCTACGCAAACAATCGGAAAGAAAATGTCACGGTCGAAGACCATCAGAAAAAATAATTATAGCCGAGAACGACGCTATCTGAGCAAGCCTCATTCCATAGACGTCTGCCTTGACAACGCGAGGCCTTCGCTGTGAGGCCTTCGATACGAAGCCCAGCACACGTTCGTTTGCTCAGAGCAAACTCAATACTCCTCCGAGAACACACAACCATCTGGGGTGATCTGAGCAAGGGAATCCGATCATACAAGCGTCGTAATTCACGATGCAGCAATGCCCCCCCCCGCCCCCCTCCCCCCCCCCCCCCGTCTGAAGTGAGTTACGGCAGAAGGAGACTAATTCAGAGTTACTACGTAATGTTGCTTCCGGAAGCACTCATTACGAATGTGCGGCTGGAAACCGCTTAATAATTCCAGAGGCGATCAGACGACACAGGTACTGTGCAGTGAGGATCGATAGACACAAACGATCAGGAAAGGGGAGAAGGGTGATGAATAATGCATGAAATGTATTCTATGATTCAAATGCAGAGGGGGAAAAGACCACGAGTGCGTTGTTCCTCGAGCACGGAAACGTTGCGACGATATCGATCGCGGGAGTGTGACTAATGATGAGGGGGGAATAGATGTCGGGGATTGATAGATCATCGATCTCCGTGGATGACCTTACCTCTCCGTCACGGAAGCTCGGGTCAAGATCATTTCTGGGAGGCGCAATCCGTTGGGAATCTATTCGGGAATCGTTAAGTAAAAAGCATGGACCCTTCCGTCGATGCGCCGCTGCACGATGCGACCGATTGTCAGCGACGAACGAACGCTGAATCTTGATGAATGCGTCACCGATCATACACCAAGCACACACCAAAGAGCATCGTCCTAACATCACCCTCGCAATTGACACAGCATCGTGAGGGAGTCCTAGCAGATAATCAGTCGCTCGGAAAAGTGATCGGCGAGGAAAGCAAACATCACGACCGACACCACAGCGTGGTCGATAAGAGAGATCCGAGGTCGTCCCGTCTCGTCGTGTCGACTCCCTGGGATCGCTTGCTGCGGTGACGATGACGGTGACGGTCTGCCATCGATCTATGTTCTAGACTCGGTCCAGACAAAGTCCCGAGTTGTGTTTTTCTATTCGGTCGATCGACCCGAAATGATTAGCTTCTCGCCCGTCTCGAGGTTAACTCACCTGCCTCTCCTTTCACCTCCTGTTCAAATAAAGAGAAGGGCCGTCGATGGGGCCTCGGTATGTTAATGACCTGGAACGTGCCCGACGCACAAAAGAGCCTTTCTCCTCTGCATACAAACACTTTCGGGAGCTGACGTCCCCGAAAAACGTCACGATCGTTTTAGCATGCATTGTTGCGGCGACACCTGCTTTGTTTACTGGAAAATCTGCTCGGCTTTCCAGTTGGCTGCGCTCGTCGAATGTTCCAGAATGGGTGTTAATGCGCAGAGAGTGCGCGAACTTCAACGGCACTCTCCGTGTCGCCCCGGATACAGGCAAGTCGAACAAGTTCAAAATCTGCTTTTCCGCGAGCGGCAAACAAATAGGCCAAACTCACACGTCGGACAAAGAAGAGACGAATGGGAGAATAAAAAGGGGGAGATAGAGTCGGATGTTTCGGAAAGGAGAGAGCGGATGGCTAGGAACGCTCGCAGTTATCGATCCAGTGACAGGGATCCGGCCGAGCTCACGATCCCCTCGTCTTCCCCATCCCCTTTCATAACATAGTACTCGTGAAAACACCCGAAGGGGGACGGCGAATCGCACCGACACACGCACGACGCACGCACTTCCCGCTCAGAGACTCGACCCACGACGACCCCCACACACAACGCGAGAGACGCAAGACCAGACGGACGCCAAGCGGAGGACTGAGCGCGCTGGGGTGGAGTGCGGGTGCGCTGTGAGGGATCCTGCAGCATCCCATCCTCCAGGAGGAACCCTCCCTCTCCTCCCCACTCGATTGACACGGTTGTCGGATCTGCGGTTCTCTCTCTCTCTCTCTCTCTCTCTACCCCAGGGCGTTACTCGAAGGCTCCAAGTCCTTCGTTGTTATCGTTTCATCTTCATTCATTTGTTCCGAGTTTCAGTTGTTTATTCTAAGCTATCTTGGGGAGAAATATTGGTGAGCTCATTTGCCTCGACTCGAGAAAAAATATCGTGTTTGAAACTCCTTCTCTCTTGGGTGAGGAGGATCTACTACGGTGAGCACCGACAATAGTTCACATTTCATTCTGCACCGTGATTCGATAAAGTTCTAAAGATTTGTCGAGACGCATCTTGTTGCGTCCGTTGGAGCGAGTTTCACAAGACTCGTTAGAAGAAACGATAAATAAAAAAAAGCCCACCCTTTCAATTATTCATTCCGAGGAGTAGCGGAAAGGGCAAAAAGAAAGCATGATAACGAAGGGAGACAAGTCGGATTGAAGGGATGGAAACGAAACGCCATGCCTGACTGCCGGCCTGCCCCTCTCTCAGAGACGCTGGGCGGGGCCGCCTTCCCTCTCGGCTGAATCCGCCTAGCTTCCCCCCCCCCCCCCCCCCCTCCTCCATCCTCCCCCCCCCCCCCCTCTCCATGAACATGGAAGGCTGCTTTTTTCGCCCCCCCCCCCCCCCCCCCCCCCCCCCCCCCCCCCCCCCCCCCCCCTCTCCATGAACATGGAAGGCTGCTTTTTATCGTCGCTAATCCCTCATTTCCACCCCGTCTGGGTCTGTCTGGGGCCGCTATCGTCTTTCCGCAACGGTTCAAGCATCTTTCCTTCGTCGCAAAAGTGGAAACACGCGAGTAAGGTGAACGTAGATTGCGAGTTGTTTTCATCAAATTTCGTCGCAGACAAAATTTCTCGAATCCGAAATCGACCTTTTGAACCGACTGGTGAACTGGCAGCGTGCCAGTAGAGATTCGAAAGTCCATTCCTGATTCAGTAGTCCATTCCACGAAGTTCCACGAAATTCCACTCGCGTCGACTTCCAAACTTTTATTTTTTTCTCCCTCTCTCCAGTCTTCAAAGGATCTGAGAAAGTCTAGGAGCTAAGAACACGACAAAGGCATTCAATCTCCGCCGGTAATTAAATTCCTTAACTGCCGCGTCGGGAATCATTTTACAGGTCCTGCTTTTCCTCCTTCGATAACGGCAGAAATGGAATCACGAGTGCAAGGACTGCAAAATTGAAATGCATCGATATAGAGCGAACACGATTAAATGTCGAAGTAAAATTAACTGTGATGCCGATAAACAATTAGCAAAAACTAAAATGAATATGCAAAGTATACGTGATTTTAAACTGAATTCACGAGTGGAAACGGTAGTGAATATTGCATATCAGTTTTGCATGCATTCCTCTTTACACTCGGTTCACGGTGCAATTTATTGTTAATCTTTGTTAATCTTTCCTATATAAAATATTTGATGGCGTAAAGCAGTACACAATCACAAAATACGTAACGAATTTTATGGAAATAAGATATTCCTCGAAAGTCATTAAGTTTCATTCAATCAAATTTTTTTCTCAACCATAAATTTTCAATGGAAACTTTTTACCATGTGAACCGAGCATTGATTCGCATTGAGATTTAAACAATTAAAAATTGTTCGCTCTTTTTCCCTGCCTCGTTTTTCTAATTTATTTCCGAAACTGCGCCCCCCTTGCGGAAACAGAATCTGTTCCCACCGAGTCCTTTTCTCGGATTTTGCCTCGTAACCAGACAGAAACGACCCGCCATTGATTCGTCCATTCACCCCCATGGACCAGAGGCGAGGGAGGCAAGAGGCGAGGGAGGCAAGGGAGACGAGGGAGGCAAGAGACGAGGGAGGCGCCTTGGCTCTCGGCAGCGATGACACCCCGAGCCAAGGCGCCTCCGTCATAACTAGAGCCAGAATTGTCGCCGTTCATTGTGGCTACGTCTCTTTTTTTTCTCTTTATTTTTTTTGCTTCGTCGTTCGCACAAGCTGGGAAACCTTAAGGAGAGTTTTTCGAGACGATGCGTTTTGAAGTACTCTACGCGTGCTGTTGGGCTTCGAAAGAGGCCAACTACACATCAGGGCTCGGATGAGACATCGATGCGATGAAGTTTTCTTGATGAAACTGAATCCACTTTTCTCTTTTGTCCTCGGGTCTTCCGCATCGTTTTCGCCGCTCGTTACGCAGATGAGCTTATCGAGAGACAAACGATGAAGACACAATTTGGCAATCTTTCATCGCGTTAAACGAAGCCGTACGAATAACGGAGTTTCGTCGCCGACCGTTTCCGCTCGAAACCAAAACGTGATTCGCAACAACGTCGTATTAATCTAAATTATATATTAATACAATATTAATCTAAAAGAATCTCTTGACGTCGTTTATATTTAAATTGCTGTTCAATTTCTTCCCCGTGAATAACGAAACCCCCAATCGACTTTGCGAGGGAACGAAAGAAGCAGCAAGGAATCGTGCACGTAGACCCCTTCCATAAATAGACGAGTGAGCGACATGTGTGCCCACATGCGAGACATTTCATTGATCTTTCCCGGTAGTTACGTGAATGCCGATCGATGAACTTCGCTCGCGCCGTGACTGGCGATTTTGAGGGGAATTCCTCATTTGCTGCCAGGGTCTCCCACAGGAGAGAGGCTTGTGGCACGTGTGCCAGGCGATTGTGGCACCTGTGTCACGGCAGGCACCCTTTTTCTCTTTGTGAACCGTACAAGCGCGTTATCTTTTGGGTCCATGGTGTGCCCCGTCCTAAAATAAATGACAAAAATATCGTAGAATGGCTTGGACTACCTTAAAAGAATCGAGTCGGCCTGCGGGCTTTTCAGCGCTTCAAGTCCTAACCGACGAAAATTCAACTCGATAGCAAAATTATAACTTTTTCGATGAAGAGACTCCGATGAAAAGTACTGCCGCAGAAGCGTGGAATTAATTTGAACAAGTGCGATTCGGATCCGCTTACGTACTTATAAGTACTTATAAGTACTAAAAATGCAAATGAAACGCGTCTCAGCTTTCACTCTTTTCAGGGACTTTCCCGTGGGTTTCCCGTTTCTCAATCGAGAAGTTCTAAGGTTTCCTCATCGCCATCCGATCGCGTCTCGCTCGAGCCCGTAAGAAACACGCGCGATACGGAGAGGGAAATTCTACACGATGCAAATATGCATGGTTTGGGTTTCCCTTTCCAAAGAGAGAAGAGACCCGAAAAGTATTATTCGGCGTTATACACGATAAACAACCCTCGCCATCAGCCTCCCCTCTTAATGGAATCCGATCGAGCCCTCCCTTTTATCTGAGGAGTCCACCCACCCTCGTCCCGAATGGCCTTCAATCCGGTTGTAAATCCGGACTCTCGCAATAACGATGTGTTGCGACCGAGAAACTTCTTGGAGTGATCTGCCTCCAATATCCAGAGGGAAAATATCCGCGAAGAGGGCAACATCTCGGTTCCTTTGCTAATTTGCTCATCCGTGAGCAAATTAACAAAGGAATCATGTGACCCACTGTCTCTGGGGACTCGCTTCACCACCGAATGTGGAAACCAGAGGTCCGAGCGCTAATCGCATCTCAGACAGAATCATGGCATTATGTGCTTTTCGATGCCTTCACGCCTCGCCTTGCATTTTGGGGCGTGATCTCTCGCGATTCTTCCTCCTTTTTCGTAAGGATTTGGACTTCTTATTTTTACTGATGGTTCAACTTAAAGCTTATGCATAAAAAGGCATCAAGGTGAGACTTTCTCCGATGCACGATTCTATGACTCGATTCCGATTCATTACCACTATCGACCGAATGCTTGGGGCATGCCCAGCTCAATACGTATCATCTGTTTTTACCTCTTCGGCTCCATCCGGATAAGTTTCGGAGCTCTTGTTGATCCTCGTTCGGAACATCCCCCAGACAGATCAGGTAAGCCGAGATCAGGGAGATGAGGGAAAGAAGAGGCTGGATGGGCGAGGAGAGAGAAAGACCCTTCCCTCCTCTGTCACCCCCATAGATCGAGGAAGGAGAAAAGAGAGCGGATGGTGGTCGCCATGGCAACGCTTCCCCCCCCAAGTCCAGAGCGCAACTGGTTCCACGGTTGCCCGATCCCTCGTTCCTTTCCTTCGTTGGTTCCAGGTTGCACGATCCTTTGTTTCTTTCCGTTCCAGTTCCGACCAGATTGATTACCGGATGATCTGAGACGAGGCTCCTTTGCCCTTTGTTCTCACTTGAAATCGAGATGCTGCAGGTATCAGGGTCAAGACAATCCCTGAGAACCTTAACCCACTCACCCCCCCCCCCGCCCCACCCCCCCCCCCACCCCTCCCTACTGGAAGCAATAAATGAAGGGAAAGTATGCTTTTTGTCGGTTAGACTTTTATTTGAAGCAAGACAGCCAAATACAGAACTGTCAATTCATCAGAAGTCAATCTCAAGTAAAGTGAAAAATCGAATTCAGCCGAGACAAAAAAAAAAAAATTGGAACAGACCAGAGAGAAAAAGTGTAACGGTTTTTCCGTCTCGAAAATGAGATTCAAAAAAGAACATGCATCACCAGACGCAGCTATTTATAGGCTTACTCTTCAATTAAACAATCGATGCATTTCATTCATCTGTCTGATGCGTGGGCAGGCGGAAACGGATAAAGGTCAGGTCTTCGAGTCGAACTTGGAATACCATTAATATTAAGTTCTTAGGGGAAGGCTGGTATCGATCGAGGCCATTTCCCATCCACCACCTCCGCCGTTTCCATGCTTCTGCTCTCGCTTTCTGGCGGCTGGAGGCTAATTATCCTTTGGGGAAGATGAACCTCTGGGAAGCACGAGAAGTGGCAGCAGCAGCAGCTGCACGGCATTCCTAAACATTCCCTAACGTTCCTTAATGACCTTCATCGATATTCATCTTCTGGGTCGTGGTCGAGTTTCACGTCTCTTTTTCGAGAAGAAATTCCCCTTCATAGATTATTTGTAGCTTCGGGTACTTCCGGGAAGTCTTGAGAGGCATGTGTCACAACAAATTGAAGAGCATAATCTTGCGCTTCTTAAAATTCCGATCATGCGAGTTTCTCTTCCATTTTTTTTTTTTACGGTCAGAAACTCGTGGAGAGAAGGAAGTGTTTTTTTTTTCCCCCTGAGTGTGCGAGGTGTGATGAAAAAGTTCGGAGATTTGTTTGCTCGTGTCCTTGTTGGAGCACTTGAAAGCTATTCAATTACCTTCAAAGTAATCTCCTCGTACTTGCACATACATTCTCCAACGTTGTCTCATCCTCTGCAAACATCTCTGGTAGTTCTCTTTTGGAAACGCAAGCAGCACGAGCGTCGCGTTAGTCTGGATCGTCTGGATGTCCTCAAACCTCTTCCCCTTTAGACCCATTTTCAATTTTTGGGCTAGAGCTTACCAACTTCATATATTAATCAAAGACATTCTGTACTTGCTCGGTGCAGCAATTGATAGCGTTTAACATTTTTTAAAATTACAAATTACAATTTTCTCTCCCCGAACTTTTTGGTCAAATCTCGTATATACACAAGCTATATTTTATCCTCTCAAGCGCTAAAACTTGTGACAGGATTTCGACTCTGATGAACTTTCTTTTCGACTTTAAAATAGTCTCATGCCATTTAACTCCCCCTCCCTCCCTCTCGGACTCTAATGACCTAGCAAATGAGGCTTGAAATTTGATCGCGTCCACTCGGGCTCCCACAGCATTCACATAGCATGTTCTCGCCCCGGAGCGAGGGGGAAGCGAATCGACCCGGCGTGGTGCCGGGGCCGCTTCGACGTGGCACGGCTTCGCTTCGTCAGCCGTGTGGACGAAGGCTCATGTCCCGGGACTGTCTCCCGTGAGTTCGGGCTTCCGAATGAATGCCGGGATGCTTTGGTGTATGCTTCCGAAGTTCATGGGCTAATCGATTTTTTTTTTTGGTCCAGAGCTAATAGTGGCACACACATGTTTGGCACGCTTTCAAATCCGTAGAATGCATGCAAGGTCATGGTCACTTCCTTTAACCCCCTTTAACCACTTTAGAAGCGTTCGCAGAGTTTCCGATTTCAGAGTGAATAAATAATCTCAATAGCACTGGGTTGAATGAAGTCGAATCTCACAATTGATGCAATCTCAAAGTTGGTTCGCTCGAATGAGGCAACATTTCTGACGAAATTGGGATTTAATGCAATGAGGAACGCAAATGCGTCGTGCATTAATTTAGACGCTCTATAGGACAATTAGTTTACCTAAAGCCCGAGGAATATGTCTCATAGATTCTTATGACGGAATTCCGCAAGCATCTTGCATAGAAAATACCGATTTTTGAACGCGCTATCAAACGGCTCAAACCTGCAAATGTAATGAGAAAATAAAAGCAAGAAAAGGGAAAAGCGCTTAAACTTTTACACGTGGATAACTGAATTTGTTTGGAATCTAATCACGTCTGTATACGTGAAGAAGGCTTGAGAGGATTAATTTAAATAACTGCATGAACTTCTCGACGTGAATCTTTGAAAGTGCTAACTAGTTTAACTTTCTATTTTTTTTTTTTTGAGCTAGAGATGCTAGATTTTCCACTTAGAATGACCAGTTGAGTTGGCTCTTGCACTTTGAGATATTGACTCTGGAAGCACGGAGTCAACTCGATTGGAGAGTTTGGTGCCTTTATTGAATTTGGATTTGGATTTTCTCCTTCAGCAAAGAAATCCTTTGAGATTCTCGGTCTTAGTCACGTGAAGGGACTGCGTAACGAAAGAGAAGACACATATAGGAAGAAGAAAAAGAATACACTGGAATTCCTTACATGCCTCGGACACTCCAGCGTGCCAAGAACACAGTAGGCACGACATGATCGATGGACCCAACAACGCAGTAGACTCGTCTGTTCAGCGAACGTCGTCCAATGTCTTCGGACTCTGGTCGGTTCTCAATCGAGGCGTCGTGACTGCCCGTCGGAAAGCCGACAGTTGTCATATTTTCTCGCTGTGGGACGGAGCAAAAGTATGTTCCATTGTTTTCTGTTTGCGATTTGTACCAATGAAAGCAGACTTACTGGAAGCAATAAATGAAGGGAAAGTATGCTTTTTGTCGGTTAGACTTTTATTTGAAGCAAGACAGCCAAATACAGAACTGTCAATTCATCAGAAGTCAATCTCAAGTAAAGTGAAAAATCGAATTAACAAGTGTACTCTTAAAAACTAACGAACACTCACTCCGATTTCCCTCTCATTTTGGTCTGAAAGAGAGAGGGAAAAGAAAAGAAAATTTTATTTTCTTTCCTCTTCTTTTTATTCGTCCAGACGAAGAAGGAGCAAAAGAGGACTGGAGTTAAAGAGAACTACAGAGAACTGGAGTTAAAGCTCGCCTTTTGCGTTGAATAGAAATCATATGCTTTCTTATTATCGCTGAACTGGACGACGCGATCGTCGAGCAATGCCTTCAACATCTCTCATACGAAATCATCGCATACTCTCCTTTCCCAACCAAACCGGTGGGAAAAGGAGGTCAGTTCGGTCAGACAAGAGGAGGCCACCAATCGGACCAGCTACTGAAAGGACCGAACACCAAGCGAATGTCTGGAAGAACGCACAGACGGAAACGCATTCCGTGACTCCGATGACTCTCTAGAACACGAATGGGGAGAAGCGTGATGGTAACCAGCTACAATGAGTCAGAGTCATAGGAAGTGAATAAAGGAATTTTTAGCCGCGAAGTAACGCCGGACGAATCGATTGACAAAACTCAGTATGAATATCATCACGACGTCATATTTTATTTTATAGTTGTGAATGTGACATTTGTAAGGAGCTAATCAGAAAGGTTGCCGATACCGAAGATCCCTTGTCTAGATAAAACGGAAGCTTCAACTTACATATGTTGTTGGCAGTTCGGACTTTCTACGGTCATAATTTCTATAGAAATATCAGCCTATTTATGGAGTCAAGAAGACAATTCAGAAAACAGAAATTAATACAAGAGGTAAAATGCAGTGGAAGAGTAAATGGAAGGGAACCTAAACTCATCTGACCATTTAAAAATCTGGCGGGAAAAATCACTTCTAAAAGGAAAAAAACAAACGAGCATAAAGGAGCTGGATGTAAACAGGACGTGGTCAATAGAGGTGTTTGATAGAAAAATATTATCGCTTGGCGTCCTGGGTAAGAGCCTATTGTGAGATCATGTTCCCTGCAACTGCCTTGAATTAGCAGTTGAACCTGCGGTTACATTTTCTTCGCAGAACCGCAGAGCAGCAATCTACCCTCCACTGAGAACTGAAGAGGATTCATGCCGGTTGCAGTGCTCCTCCACTTACAAAATGTTGTGTGACCAGTACGGTGTTCTCAAAGCAGTCGAGTTTATAGAAGAAAAAAAGCTTTTCAAAGAATCTTTATGTAGTTTTATGTAAAAATTTGATTAAAAAAAAAACATTAATTTTGTCTTGGAGCGAATAGAGAGACGGAAAGTGGGGAGAAAGAGAATGGGATCTGACACCTCTGGATCACAGGGAGGGAGACAGAGCATGATGGCGGACCGAGACAGTGCGAGCGAGAGTGACTCGAGCAGTATAGATGGGGGACCTATTATGATGCCCCCGTCCCCTGTCACGAGGGAACAGCTCCAAAAGAGAATAGAATCTCTTCAGCAGGCTAACAAGGTCCTGCGATTGGAGTTAGAATCCTTCAAGCTCCGGGTCAAAGCTCTCGTGGAGGAGAACAAGACCCTCAAACAACAGTCTGTCACCATTGTGAGTTTCATGTTCGCCACGAGGTGTTGGCTTATCCTTTCCCATCATATCATATCATAGTTAGAGCGAGCAGTGGCTTTTAAAGTTTTCTATCCCGAGCATCGAAAGTGCAACTCAATAGGATGAACCAAAGAGAAGTGAGGTGGCATTTCAGCATGGAGTCAATGTTGCTGTAGAATTGTTTTATAGATCAGTCAGATCCACAGCATTATGTGTTATTAGCGAACTTGGAGGAATCAGGCTTGCTCTTCTGTGCCTGGAGGCTTTTTTACCTGCATAGAGTTCTGTAGGTTTGCTATTTTTTGAGTGAAGACCCTTCATCTCAAAATCCAGGTGTTATCATGCCAAATACAGTCCTCACAACTGTACCCAATGCCAACTTGTATGGAACAAGGTATTTCCTGATGGCCTGGATACTGATGAAACCTACTTTTTAGCTCCATCAATCAAAATCAAACAATTCTGGGCCTACTGACATGATACTGGGTTATTCTTTTTATGTGTGTGCTTCCAAATGCAGCCTTCATTCTTGTAATTTTATAATGGTTTTTCATTTAAACTCATCTCCATCCCCTATTGTGGTGTAAGTGAGTACTTCATGATTAATGTTTCGGTCTTTGGTTTAATCAGGATCAGTTGTTTTGTGAAGCAGATATAACACCAGTTGCATGAGAAGTGGCAGTATTCAGGAAGGGAGGGTGACTTCAGTAATAATATTAAAAAATCACTATTTTCAAATATGCTTACTTTACACATGGCTGCCAATACCCCTAAATTGCATTGATGCTTTATCACATGAACAAAGAAAGATTGAAACTTTCCTCTATGTTCAGAAGTCAAGTTCCCAAGAAACTTGCATTTTGGGCTTGCCACAAATTTGTTGGACAATATTTTTATTCCTATTGGGAAGTATTCAGGAGTAAGTGTGACATAAGTATGACCTGAAGTTGAACACATGACCAATAGGAAGGCATTGTGGCCATGTGGATTTGAAGCTTCTCATTGGTCAAGCCAGGATTTGATCAGAGATTTGATGGTCTATTTTTCTTTCCCTTTCTTTCTATTCTTGTCTTAGCTTCTCTTTTAATCAACCTCAGGTAATTTTAAGGGATCCCAGCTAGGTTTAATAAGTTAATTTTGATTATTCCACATTCATTCTAAAAGTAATTACTTTTTCTTTTAGCTATTAAATGAAATTATAAGCTCCATGGATGTGCACAAGTGTGCATCAATGAAGAACAATGTCAGACTGGCAAGCTTTCTCACTATTGCAAATGATGCTCCTTTTATACTATATTAGAAATAGAATAAGTGTCCATAGGTATGCAAACTCATTGCATGTTCTGATGTATGTGACAGTCAAAGAGTATGGAGGAATGATGAATTGGAGAGGATATTATGGAATTTTTTACTTGAACCAGACTTTAGTATTATTACTAGATTTAGACAGCCATACATGGGAAGTTTGTATGAGCATTAAAAATGCAGGTTTTTCTTTTACTTGATTTTAAAATAAAGTAAAAGAAAAACCTGACTTGTGTGAAAAATGCTGTAATCACTACAGTCACTACATATGCCTTCAAAACTTCTTGAATGGACTGCTGCCAATGTAATACCAAGATGATACACATGGCCAGTGTCAGAGTAGCATGATGGCCTATGTTTACTGGAGGTAAATGGGGATTCCTCCCTGTCCTGATGCAGAATATGGAATTGTGGCTTCTGATCGGTTGAGACAGAGCTATTGATCAACCAGCTGTCTGACATCTAAGAATATTTATGACAATCTGATGTTGTTGCAAGTAGTTTAAACACTATGTAGACCTTAGCATGCTATTTAGTTCCATATTCCTTCTCTTATTTTTTCACATTTTTTGTAGTTGTGAAATCAAACTTTTAGGCTTTGTGAATATCCCATTCTGTTCATCAAAATTGTACCACAGTGGACCATAACAGTAGCCTTGTAGTCTTGGTCTATGTATTTTTTAAATGCATGTTGAATCTCCCACCAATAATGAGCTTGTCACTAAGTGGAAAGTCCATTTCTGTGGACTGAAAAGTCCACAGAAATGTAGACTCTATCACCAGATTACAAAAAATTATGTTGGTGTCAGTCACCAAATTTTATTTTCCATTGCATCACAGCTGCTGCAATCACCAAATCTGCATTAGCCCACACCAAACATGCTTTCTTTATCAAACCCTTGAATTGTTTAGCAATTTCAACTGTATTGAGGAATGGACTTTCCTTCACTTCTGGTTTGAGCTATGATGGCAAGATGAGATTGTAACATTGCTTGCTTGCAAGATTGATTGGGGCTTCTGGAGAGGATCTGTGTAACTGGTCTCCTTGTACCTCTGAATATGTAAGGGAGTTCAGTATGGCACACCTGCCCTGCAGACCCACTAAACAAGAAATAGCTTTGCTCCCTTTTGATATTTGAAATGTGACAATTATTGGTGTCTAGTTGAAGTTTGGTGGTCATTTCATGGAATATGAATTTGGAGTTGGATACAAGGAGTTAAGTCTGATGGTGAAATCATTTGGTGAAGGGAATAAGATTTGGGTGATGTAAATTAACTGTGTGACTAAATGATACATTCTGGTGGTGAATCATTGATGACAGAGTAAAAAAATATTTGGTGGTGAATAATTCACAGGTAAGAATAGCTTCAGAACTTCTTAGTTGCACTGCAACCTTTTTCAAGTACCAAGGAAATGCAATGTAGGCTTTAGTAAATATCACATACACCATTGTGAAGGCCTAGATATCTTCTACAAATTTGAGAAGGTTTAAAGAAAAAGCCCACCTGTGTAGAACATTAAGTAGCATTTCTTTGGGTTAGGTATGAAACAGTTAAAGCCATTAACAGGTATGGTGAGGCCATTTCCCTAGAATCTGTCTTATTTGCCTAGCCTACCTTTGAATGTAGGTCATTCAGACCCAAACCAGACTTCAAATGCAAGATCTTAAGCATTATTTATGTCTATACCTTCATTTTAGGAGGTCTTTGTCTTCTGTCTGAAACCTTCAGTTTCTTAATTTATTATTTTTAAATTATAATTGTCACTGGTGACCTGATGGCTCAAGTGGGCAACATACAGACATCCACAATGGTGAATGTGGTTTGTGTAGGACTACCTGGAAGTGTTTTCAAATGAGCTGAGAGTTATTTATCTCTGCTAACTTAAACATTTTATCTTTCACTCTTACATATAGGTCTTTATATTTGTAGATTTCACTGTCTGGACTCTGCTCAGTGTGAAATCTACAGTATCCAGACAGTGTTGTTTAGCTCTTGGCATGATGTTAATTTGGTAGACAATTTCTCTGAACATCCTCTGAATGGATTAAGGTATTGCTTTGACTTTGTGGATGCAAGATTTTCCCTACCAAAGCAGCTCATTATAATTTTTTAATGTATGTGTCCTCAATGACCCTGTTATTTATTTATTTCAGCAAGCAAGAGCTGAGCAGGAAGAGGAGTACATAAGCAACACCCTGTTGAAAAAGATTCAAAGCCTAAAGAAAGAGAAGGAGACACTGGCCCTGAACTATGAGCAGGAGGAGGAGTGTCTCACAAATGACCTGTCCCGCAAGCTGAATCAGCTTAAGCAGGAAAAGGTGCAGCTGGAGCAGACATTAGAACAGGAGCAGGAGTGCCTGGTAAACAAGCTGATGAGGAAGATAGAGAAGCTGGAGGCTGAGACCCTGGCCAAGCAGGAGAACCTGGAGCAGCTTAGAAGGGAGAAAGTGGAGCTGGAGAATACCCTGGAACAGGAGCAGGAGGCCCTGGTCAATAAACTTTGGAAGCGCATGGAGAAGTTAGAGTCAGAGAAACGGTTGGTGCAAGACTTAACTCTGGCTTCTTGAGCAGTTTTAAGCTTATGTTCATGATTCATGAATGAATAATTAAAATGAATCATATTTTCATGTCCTGTTCCAGGATGCTGCAAGGGAAGCTGGATCACCCGGTGTCATCTCCATCTTCTCCACTTGATGTGGCCAATGGAGACAGTGTTGAGAATCTGACCACCCATATCCAGCATCTAAGAGGAGAAGTAGCCAAGCTGAAGCGTCAGCTATACAAAGCCCAACAGGAGCGTGAGTTCCTTGTGTCCATTGTGTTGAATTTATTGGGTTTTTTAAAGTTTTTAAAGTAATCTGAGATTAGAAGTACCAGTTCCTGACACTTACCACTCCTGACCCTGGTATTGCCAAGGTCTTCTTTGTCTACTTGATATCCAAAAATACAACACTTTGTCTCATTTCTATTTGTTGCTGCCTTTGTTGATAGCTAATAGTTCTAAACATTTCCTCACAATTGATGTGAAGTAGTACACATCCATATGAATAACATATATGTGGAGGTAGTTTTTCATGTAAATGTCCCATAAACAAATATGTTTGTTTTGAGTTTTAAGTTTATTTTATGCATGTTCTATATTTGAAACTTGCTTCCTGCAGTAAAAGCATCAGCTGCTATTAGTCTCCCATGTACTTCCAGTCCTCAGCTTAGGTCATGGTATGGAGACCAGAATTCTGTTTCCCTTTGACATTTGAAGCTGATGGATATATTTTTAACTAATAGGGACAAAAGCTGCCAGGGCAAGGGGGACAGGCTTACTAGCCAAATTATTGTGTTGGTGCATCTGGCAACTGATAAAATTTTCCTTCCTTTCCATCTGTGAAAATTCACTTCCCTGGAGGAGGTCCACTATGGACTGGGCTTGCCTAACTTGAATCTTTTACATTGATTTTAGGATTCTCCCATCTGACTTATCTTTTCTATAAGTATTTGGGTTTTTTTTTGCTCATTGCTATACCAATGCAAATGAGTTTTGACTGCCATATGAAGTCAGTAGTAAAATGATACCCTTAAAATGTTATTTGCTTTGCAGATGTGGAGAAGATGCAGCAGTATGCTCTGGAGGAAAAGCAGATCCGTGATGAGAACGTTCGTCTTCAACGGCGTCTTATGATGGAAAAGGAGCGACGGGAAGCACTGTGTCGCAATCTCTCTGAATCTGAGTCAAGGTAAGATTTTCTTTTTTGTGGTGGTCCCATATTGTTGGCCTGTTGAGGGGTGCTCATTGGTGATACTTTTAGCTTGGAGATGGAAGAAGAAAGGGTGTTCAATGAGATGGCATCCCAGGGTGTGGTACGCCCACGTACTGTTTCCAGTCCCATTCCTTACATCTGCCCATCTCCCAATGCATCTCGACCACTTTCTCCTGGTATGGGAAAATTTTCTCTGTTTCCATAGATGAAATGTTTTGATTGGCAGACATAATGCACCAAGGTTTGAATTGACATTCTACAGCTTCAGGTCGAGATGAAGATCCTCTGGAATCAGCTCTAGGCTTTCTTTTTCAATGTGTTCATCAAAATTCAATGTAGTACTGCCCAGTGAAGTGTCCACATATAGAGAAAATCTTTGTACAATTTCTGGATTAGTTTAGTTTTTTTTTTGCATTTGTGGAATGCAGTGATGACATTAGGAATGTTATATTCTTGGCAACTGTGAACAGGAAGTGTTCTCAGTGTTGAAAATGTAATTGTGCTCTGTCTGTGTTTGATTCCCATCCTGCACCGCATTGCTTTCTCTTCTGATCCATTCTATTGTCGTTCAAATTTTTCCGCAAAAATTAGGTTCATGATGGAAGTACATGTGCTCAGTGCAACAGGACTCAAAGTATTTCCCCCCCCCCCCAAGTAGGTTTTAGCTTACTGTACATGTGTCATTAATGGCCTGTCTGCACATGCAAGACTTTTATTTAGCTTCTGTTTTCAAATGAATATTGCCTCAATGCATGAATTATGGTTCCCCAAAAATGGCACAAGTTCAATTTTAATTATTTTAGAGCTGTTGTCACGTTAATAACTTCTGTTGAAAACAAAATATATAATTTTCTGCCAGTATTAAGGAATTCCTTATGATGACCTTGAGCATGAATTCAAGAAAAATTGTGAAACTGGATCCATGTAGACTGGCAGCAGATGATTGAGAAAGGTGTGAGGTCTAATATTTGATAATCTGGTATCTGTCAACTGAAATAATTTTTCTTTCTGCAGGGCTTGGTGCAAGTGACAAACCAGGAGGAGGAGGGAGTGGAAATGTTTCCCGAGAAAGTTCGTTTGTGGGAATTTCATGTGCAGGTGGGATGGGACTGTGCACCCACTGTGGCCAGTTGAGCATCCCCCTCATGCCTGCTCATTCCCTTCCTTCCACCTCTCCTCCCCCTTCCCTTACTCACTCCAGTGTGAGTCCCATGTGCTCTCACTTTTTAAATCCTCATTTTCTGTTGAGACATGATGCATTTTTGGTACCTGGGTGGAAAGGGATGATTTTGGAGGAGCCATAATTTCCTAATTGATCATGTGTATTGCAGAGAATACTTTGTGCCAGTGACTAAAAATATGAAGACATAAGAGATTTTGAATAGGGCTGTTACAATGCATTGATTCATTCATAGTTTTATCAGACCTTCCCTTCCTCCTAGGCATTCCCTTCAACGGACTGAGGAAACTCTGAAAATCAAAATTTTTTAAATATGAACAATTTTGAAGAAAAAATAATGATAGAATCCCACAGAGCCCAGTAAATTAAAGAAAGCTGAAAGAGGAAAAAGAATTCTCTCAACCATAGTATATAACAAAAAAACTGGTCTATTCTCTTAATCCCCTGTCATCCTGCTCTGGGATCTTGCCCATCCCAGTATGAACAGGAATGCACAACAAAAATATATCAATGATAAATTGACTACAACAAAAAAAACAGCACAAGTGAAAAGTTAAGAAAAGGAAGAACAGATTTGCCTTTTTCAATGATTTTAGGTCTTCCCTAGAACTGGGCATTTGGCTTATTCTCCACCATCAGACAGCCTTAAAGTGAAAATATTGCTATGTAACATTGCATATGGCTCCACCTTTCACTAATTATCACTGATCTGAAGAAAAATGCAGCTAAGAGTAACTGTTGTCACGTGTATCTCATTGCAGGATGATGGAATATTGGTACCAGTTTATACCTCCTTATGATTACCACTTAAGGACATTAACTTGGAATTATCCTTTGTAATTTCCAAAATACATTCCCTTCCTCTCAACCTGTACCTGTCTTGCTTTGTACTGAGAGCTTAATTCCTTGTTTCTGCATGTTAGTAAATGTGATTGCAATTTTCCCTCAATTAGAACTGTTTTGGTCGTTAATCATCATTTGAACTGCGATCCTGATCTCCATGTCATGTTGAACAATATCTTTACCTGGGAAACCTTATCCAGGTCTACATCCTGCAGAAAGCAGGTTTCTTTTGTAAATATGAATTTTTGTAATCACCATTGTAAATAATGGAGATGTCAAAAATATATTTCATGAGTCATGGGCTCCAATTCAAGTACAGCAGTTGCCTATTGCTTGTTTGTAAGGCCTTAAGCTAGCCATCATTACTTTTCTATCTCCTACACCTTGGCAACCCTTAACAATATTGGTGTCCTCTTGTCAATCTTAAGATGGCTTGGTATGAACATGTGTAATGAAACAAACCAGCAGTTAAAAGGGAGGAAGTATTCTCCCACTTTTATGAAGAGCAATCTGGTAGGAAGGTAAAGTCCCTGAAAAGAAGCTTTCAAATTTAAATCTATGCTTAAAGGTTCATCATGGTTCAGCTTGAAAGAGGAAAGCACAAAAGCTGCATCCTGGTTCCAAGAAGGCAATGACCACAACTCTTACTCATTTAAAAAAAAAAGTGACTTAAATGTAATAAGCAGGTATTAGTGCATTCAGTATATGAAGAGGATATCCTAAGTTTGCAGGACAGGTGGTCTTTCCTAGTATAGGCTTACATAATTTTGTTTGTTTTAGCCTTCCTGCTAATGTACACAGTGAATGAACTGACAAAGTGATTCAAAGTGGTTTACCCATGTTACAGAGCCATGCACACCCGTCAATGATCCACTCTCGTTCCATGCCTCGTCCTGGGGGGGATCGATTCATAAAGCCATCCCCACCGAGTCCTGCTGCCTGCCATGCGGGAGTACCCAGCCGAGAAAAGAGTCCCTTCATTGCACCGGTGCCCAGCCCCCCCATTGCACCCCATGCATCTCCGTCCCCTTCTCCCTCTCCCATGGACACCAGCCGGAACCTGGACTCTGAGGATGATGCAAAGTCCATTGAGGGAGAAGACAAAGATAAGTAAAGAAAAAGCCTGAACTTGGGCTCCATCTTCTGTTGCTTCGACTTGGGACCCTCTCTTCTCTTTCTTCTTCTTACACTGCTGTACCACTGTCCCTCCTGCATCTGTCGTAGTGCATCATAGTTGTTTGCATTCATTTGCGAGGGTCTGAATCGGTTCGTTTCAATGTTTCTTCTCACACTGTATCATAACCAAGATCTGGTCACTCTCTGAAGATCATTGAAAGCCTTTGTCTTTGTTCAGTCATCTGGTCTTAAATGACAGGCAGACCAAGAGAAAACAAGGTTATTTTCTTCTTTCTCCTCCCCTTTTGATGGCTCCTTTGTTTGTTTCTTTCCTCTTCTGCTGTTTCATTGCCATCCTGTCCCAGGCACTTCAACTGTGATTTTGCAGACATTGCCAAGTCTGGGCAGCATGCTTATATCCCCTCCAAGTCTCCCTAAAGAGTTTTTCCACAGTGATCATCTCCTAATGTTTGTATTCCAGTTCTTGGTGTTTCACCGTTCCCATAACTCTCCCATGAGTCCATCTGGGTTCCATCATCAGTGTGATCTTGTTCCTTGTTTTTTTTTCTGATTTTTTTTCTTTGTCATGGCTCATGTTGTTTGCCTTTTTTTCCATTTCCACTACTTTTTGAACCAAAATAAACAAGGATGTGATAAAAAAATGCCCCCATTTGGTTTTTTATTTTATTCTCTCTGATTTCCTTCATTTTTACTGGTATGCCTTCTGTTTTATTGTGATGTATTCTGTTCTGTTAGGTTTATAGTGGTTGTAATAACATTAACACCATATTTTTTCACTGTAGAGTGGATTGTAGGAGGAACTTTTTCTGATTTTCTTTTCTGAGATACTCTTTAGTGGGGATGGGGAGCGATATATTTTTGCCAAACGTTGTATTTAAAAAGATCAGAGCAAATTACATAAATTATTCCATTTACCGGGTTCCAAGAAAGAAGGCCATGCTGCTACTTTGACTAAATTGTCTATATCTGCAAAACGGTCAGAGCTTGCTACTGTTTTTGCCCCCATAGCTATGCATCTACTTGTTTTCTACATTGTAGAATTTATAAAGCCAAACAAGCACTTTTAAATTCGCTGGTAAAATACTTGGAAATCCTCACGAGTCCAGGAGAATCACTAATATTGTTGCACAATGGGACGTCATTGCGCCTGGATGACCACATTGAACTTGAATTTTCCATTTTCCTTGAATTAGTGATATATTTTATGAAGTTGATTTTGACATACACTTTCGTCAATGTCACGCTTCAAAACAAATCTGTCAGCTGTAGGCAACTGCATGATCACAAGCTAACAACAGGTGGGGATTTCTAACAATGTTACCTGCAATACCCACATTACTTCTGTGACTAAACCAAAAGGGGGAAATCTTAGAATTTTATTTTGTTTGGAAGGCAGTAAGTAGATGTATATAACCTGAAATGCACATAGCAATGTAGCAAACTAGCAATTACCAATTTCCCAATGAAAAATACCAACAGCAGCGCGTTTTTTCTTTGCACCCAGTACTCCTCAGTCTACTGTGAAATAAGCTGAGACTAAATTTTTGTATTAGCAAGTTGTCCTCACTGTAGACTGGTTTGGAGGTGGAGTTTTATGCTTTTCCTGTGGTTTCTCTGCCATACTGAATCAAGCTTGACAATAAGAGCCTAAAATGCACCTACGTTCACTTTACAGTGGAAAAATGCAAGCGAAGATGACCCTGACCCTCGTATGGTTATTTGTGTGTATGTACTGCGAGCCAGGAAGGCAGCTGAGCTGCTTTGAAGCATATAATGAAAAGCGAGAACGATATTAGAGTAAAAAAAAATTAAGATTGAATGAGATGTGATTTTCTTTCTTGACAGAACTAAAAATCATTCCATATGTATGAATTCTCTCGACTCAACTTATGATTTTCGTGAAAGGAAGCAATTGTAGGTTTTGCTCGGGTCATTCGGCTTTCGTGCGCTGCATTTTCTTGTTTTGAGTACCCTTGAAATGTATGCTTGTACGGCATTCTTTTGACTTTAACTTTAACTTGCCACGAAGAGAAACGAAAATACATTTTTATGTGGCGTGGCTCCAAAACGTTTGTGAGCTCAATGTTGTAACTGCAATTTTTATTCCGTCCGCCGCTTCTATTTATGAATGGAGCAAAAAATTGTAAGATGGTGTTTTACATCGACAATGCCTGCAGGTGTAATGACGAGAAAGGCTTTAGTATTCCTTAGTTGAGGGCGAGGGAAACCAGATTAGCGAAGAATTTGCCAAACTGGCACAAAAGAAGGACCTTTAGAAGTGTATAGTGAGAAAACCTTGTCTCGAATCTTTCCACAGCGGTTCAAGTGGAAAGTGGTTCATCTATTTCGTGGTACTGTGTCCTTCCCATGAATCCCCAGCGTTAGTTTCTCTTAATTATTTCCCAGAAAAATACAACTCCTCTTGTTCCTCCTCTTGAAGCTCGGCGAGCAACCAGGAAAATACCTGAATAAGCGTGGTCGGAACTGTTCCTTATCGCTGGTTCATACGATCGAAAAGGATTCCATAGATTACTTTATTTTCCCAGAGCGAATAATAATCGTCCTCTCAATGCCATCTCCGTTCAACAGTACTGAAATGCCGAAAAAGGCAGAATTGTTCTCTCACATCGCAAATTAGCACGACTGATAGTCTACTGGGGTTGATGTTTTCTGGCAGAATCTGAGCTGCTTCACGCGTGTCTCTGGCAACCGAAGCTCAAGATAGGGACTTCGTGGATATCAGATTCCCCCCGTTAGAGCAAGAAAATTAATAGCATCATCTAGTAGTTAGCAATGGTGAGATCGTCTAGTCCCCGCCCCGAAGTATCTCAATTCTACGGAAATGAAAACGAATGCCGATTAAAGAAACTGGCGTTCGTGAGATTTTCGTTAAAAAAAATAGGGAAGGTAACTCGGTTTGTGAGGTGAAAAATTGACAGCTTCAAAAGAAGGCTGGCGTTTCTCGGTTTGTATGCACTTCAGGCTTGGACGCGAAAAAAAAACATGAATTGGCGAGTGGACATTGGGGAATATGTCTGTTCGAATTGTTAAACAGACAAATTTTGGTTGCGTGTAACAACTTATGGCCAAAGATAGAAGTGTGAATATTGGAATATTAAGCCTAGAGACTTGCTTATGTAAGCATCCAATCCATTTTGAAGGACTATCTTGGTTTACGGACATTTTTGTTCCCGTGCTCTCCCCACAAGTTCTTGATCTGGTCTTCAGTCAGACTGTGGAGTGCTTTATTGTATCACTTTTTTTTTTTAACCCTTTCAGACCTAAATTAAGGCTGCCATCGGAATAATATCCCTTTTTGCATTTTTTAGCTTTTTCGTGATTGCAATTGACATTTTTATGCTTTTTATGTAGTTTTCATATTTTGTATAAATTTACTATATCATACCATATATAAATAACTGAAGATTACAAAACTATTGGGTGAAAGAAGGCCGCTGATAGAACTAAGCCATGGATAATTGCGCCCATTGTAGCGTAATATGGAGCTCAAAGTCACGAGAATCCTAAGAAATGGCCATAGACACAATGTAAATGCAATGTGCATTAGAATGGACGCCAGGTCTGAAAGGGTTAAATCGAAGGTAATCCTTCAATACATATGGATTGGACGCTTACGTGAGCAAGTCCAGTCTCTCGACTGAATATCCGGATGGTCGCACTTCTACCTTTGGCCACAAGTTGTCACGGTAGTCAATGGTTGTCCCTTTCATCGATGCGCTGGACCTGCCAGAGCGAATCTCATTAGCGACATCCTCCCTCACCAGGGCGAGGCACATCAGCAACATCCTCCCTAGCCAGAGCGAAGCTCAAAGGCGACACCCTCCCTCCCTTCCAGATTCAATAGGCGACTGCGCGATGAGAACATGCATATTCCGTATGTTCTCTCACTATATCGATATTCTTCACGTTCTCTCCGATCTTGAAAAACGCAAGAACGCCAGCCACTTTTTTCTCCTCTCCACAAACATGAACTTCCACTCGGTTGAGTCTCTGAAATTGTAGCAGCTGACCAATGACTGCTGATATTTCGGGCTTACACTTTTGTTGAGCCATTGTCATTTCATACTTGATATAGTTATTTGGTCTGGTAATGAGTATTGCAAGGCCTTTTTGATCACCTCTCGTATTATTACGAAACAAGATGATTCTGCTATATTCCCTGTATTAAAAAAAAATTCCACAAGTTAATTTCACAGGAGTTGTAAACTTCAAAGGACATTACGGGGAAATTGCAATGTGGAAATTCGCTCAGACAGACACGGGAACCGTCTCATTCTTTTTTTTCTTCAATATGGAAAAACATAATGCGTACCATCGTCTTTAAAGAAAAATATATATATATATATATATATATATATATAAGGACTCACACCGTATGTAAAGGAGGGTCAGCCTTGCAAAAGGCTGCCGGGGGCGTGTCAAACACCCCGCATATTCCTCTCTCAAGTTCCATTGTAAAGGGTGGCATGCGCTGATTCCATCGCAATTAAATCTCATGCAATTTTCATCGTTCTTCCGGATCGGATCATCGATCAAGAAAGTTCCATCCCCCTCGTGCATGTCAGCCGATGTTTCGCGAGTTTCCGAGTCTCAGAAGAGATGCAGGCACTCGAGAAGAGTTCTGGCATCCCTGTCTCTGAAATTTCGACTCTTGGAAAATGGTAAAAAAAAATATAAAAAGTTTAAATGCTGCAGTGCCAGAAACCCTCGAGTGTACAAAGTGCCTCTTCGATATTCACCCTCGACGCCCCTCTCGCCGTCGTCACGGAAGATTCTAGCCAACCGAAATGAGAAAGAAAGGAACTTCTTGCAGGTAGAATGGATCTGGAGAGGATCCAAGGGAAGGGGATGGGATGAAGGAAGTATCGATCGAATATGACGATCGTGACGTAACCGGAGAACACAGACTGTGTTTATCCCGTGACGGGGCATGCGTCCCTGCTGGATTTTTCTATAAACACACGGGAGACCATCCCTCCACCCGGCAGTCTATCCCCTTCAACCCGGCAGTCGATCCCCTCCGACCCGGCAGTCTTTCGTCGAAAGGGAAGAAGAAAGGAACTCCGTCCTCGAATGAAACGATGTGTCGGTCTCAGTGAGCGAGAGCGATGAGCGACTCACGCTCGCGCGTGAGATCGCGCCCGTGACCTCAGCGATGTCAAGCGAGGAGAAGGAATTGACCTTGGTGGGAGGGTCGCCGTGGGGGTTCCGCTTCCAGGGAGGCGCTGACACACCCGTCCCGCTTCGAGTCACCAAGGTTAGTCGATCGACACTTTAATTTCATCATTAGCATGCCGCGACGAGAGGAGTTGGAAATGCGGCAGGATTTGTTTGTCCTCGAAGAGACAAGTGAATGACACGAAAGCAAATATCATCTCCGTTTGCCATCCTATCTATAGAATGGGTAAGACCCGCTCCCTTTCAATGGTTTGGGAACGTTTCCCTTTCAAGACGAAAGAAAGGGAGAGCAGAAAATCAGAGCCAGACATGCAAGGAAATGCCATTTCGTGCCGCTGCAACATCCACCCTCATTCCGGGGTTCGTTTCCGCCTTCGACCTAGCTCATCTTTCGGGATCGAGCTCAGTGCCCAAACCCGATTCGACTGAGCTCGCTGGAGGTCCTGGCCGCGTGGCTCGTCCAGGTCAGTCCAAGCTGCGATTGGTCTCCCGTCGAACGACGTCACAGGCGTGACGCCCTGTCATTGGTCCTCGTTCGCTGGCCCCACCCACTTCTGGCACGTGCTCGGGCGTATGTGGCCGTTCCGTGTTCACTTTTGATTTTCCGGCATCGAGTTGGCACGGTGTGACTCGGATGTCATCGTAGATTTGCGTCCGACTCGTCGAACAGATCCCGCCGAGAAGATTTACTTCGTGGAATGGAAAGGCCAAGGGATCTGGGATGAACGCCAAGCTTTTTCTCTCATCCTAACTGCAAACCATCCGAGAAAGAATAGGAGAAAAAGAAATGCGGACACCCCCTTGTTGAAGACAGAAAAAATTCCTCCGTCTTTCCCCCACTTTTCTTTCGCTGGAAGTTGTCTCTTTTATTGTCGCCTTGCGTTTCGCGGGTGCCAACAGAAGAAAATAAGTAGGAGCGACTAGGAACCCCGTTTTCTCGCTTCTTCCAAGAACTTTTAAAATGTCGCAATGCCGTTTCCATAATTCTAAGGGCCGACTTTCTTGACTGGGTGCCAGCCGTGACTGCGATGGCGGCTCGCACGAAGGCTCGGAAAGATTAATTTCTTTAGGGTGGCACTCGTCTTGCGATTTATGCGAACCCTGCGACACCCCCGACACCTTGCAATGCAGCGAGAACGACCACTTTCCCCTTCTTCATTATTCGACTCCATTAATATGCCATAATGTCGACCGAGAACTGTTCGTGTCCCACGGGACGGATCTCTCTCTCTCTCTCTCTCTGGCCGATGCATCATTGATGAAGGTGGAAATATGAATGAGTGATGAGAACGAGAGGAACATGGCTGAGGGCCAATACGGTTGGCTTTGCCTTTTTTTTGGCATATCGATCTCAAACATCCATTTCCGTGACATGGAAAAAAAAATTAATCAAGAATCCATTTTATGGACTCGAGCCCCAACGTTTATGGCAAGCAGTTACAATCAATAAGAGAATGAAGGAAGCGAAGAGCAAGAACAAGGGTCCTTTCAAAGGCCTTTCAAAGGCCCTTCAAAGGCCCCTCCGAGTCGTTTGGAGTCGACTTCCCGGCTCTCTTTTCATCATGATCGATGCCCCCCGTGTGATTGGGACCCGAATCACAAATGAGCCGTGACCGGACTATCAAGGCTTCTCGAAGGAATCGTCTCTTCATAGATCATATCTGTTAAAATCCATTCATGCCCTTTCATTGTGAGAAAAAATCGCCTCATCACCATCGCCATCATCGCGTGAGAAGGAATTTCTAGCCATTACACGAGGCGGCGGGGTGCAGGCCTCGTTGAGGCCGAGCCACCGACTGCAATTGATGGCTCGAGCCGGAGCGTTCCCCGGTCCCCCCCCCGTCCTCCCCCCCCCCCCCNCCCCCCCCCCCCCCCCCCCCCCCCCCCCCCCCCCCCCCCAATCCCCTCCAATCCCCTTCAAGTTCCCAGTCCTCCGGGACTTGGGATGTCTCTGGACCCCCGAAGGCGCACGAGTGGTGACAAATCGACCGCATTCGTCCCACACCCTATTGCCTATACAATGGAGTGGATGGTTAAAAATTTTTTTTTCATTTGAAGACATGTCGAAGACATTCCTTTCGTCCTGTCCTCGTCGTGGGAGTAGAAGCGTGTCCTTGTACTTGCATTTCTCGTCGCTTGGATCGGGTTCATGCCCTATCTATTGTCTATTGAGTATGCATTCACGAGTAATATTTATCGCAAGACTGAGAGCCAAGGTTGAACACCGTCGATAAACCTGTGAAATTAATTTCCCCGAGAGTGAGAATCTGCCTTGCACGTCAATGCCGTTTGAAAATAAAAGTACTGAAAAAAGTACCTGAAAAAAGACTCGAACCCTATTTCCTACGAGAAAAAGCGCACTTCGGGGCAAGCCCTCATCTAAAATGATACAGAGTAGCACTTACTCTCTCGGTCCGACTGGCATGGGCGGACAAGGACGTTCCCTGCGGAATGAAGGCTCGAGGGGAATGGAAGTGTCATCCGCTCTATTGCACTCGACGGGGGGGAATGGAGCCGTCGGAGAGGCCCGACGGTCCGTGAAGGCGTAGGCGGGGAGGATTCCTGTCTGGGTCGCTGGGGCGTGACGGATCACGAAGGGGATCGGTTGGGAATGCAGTCCCGGCGGCAATGCGGAGGAGGACGGTGGAGGATGGAGGGGAATATGATGGAAGACGGTGGGGGACGGTGGAGAGGAGGATGGTGGAGGACGGTGGGGGACGGTGGAGAGGAGGATGGTGGAGGATGGATGCGTGATGAAAGTGTATTCGATTGGTGGCTGCTCGGGGGGAGACGAAATCGGTGACTCCACGTATTGAAGAAGGATGAAACCGATTTAAAAAAAAAAAAAGATTGAAGAAAGGCTTTAAAATGGGTTTGACTCTCCGAGATGTCGGGACGGCGCCCACCGAACCGGGAAAATAGGAACGGCGTCGCATTTTTCAGCTTTCAGTTTCGGTTCGTTTCGCGCTTTTCGGTCCGGTTTCCATTTCCGGTATAAATCCGAGAGAATAAATTCGGTTAGGGTTCGGTTTCGAATCCGTGCGAGTTGATCGATCCCGTCGCTGGGATCCCCGCGAAGGCATATTTGGCAAATCTCAATGGGATTTTTCATAGTTGAAAGCGAGTCGGCGTTGCGAATGCGAAAATCGGTCTAGACGAGTTTTGAGTACGTTGCTAATGAGGTTTAGCACGCGAAGAGATCGTTTGTTGCGTCCTGGATTCCAGCTTCTCTCGTGTCTCGTGCGAGAGAAAATGAAAAGTCGAAGTTGAAGCATCGGATAGGATTTCGACACGCGCGACGCGAATCGGCACGTATCGGCCAAAATCGGCACTAATCGGCACGTATCGGCAAGAATCAGCCCTCCGGACCTCGCAAGAAAAGAGCACCGATGAACGACGAGCAGCCCCGACGCATATAACTAAATAAATCCAGGATGTATTCAAATTCCGCCACCTTGCATTCGGGATTACAGGCGGATCACCTCCCTTCTCCCACGGTTCTCTAGCCCCTCCTCCTCCACTTCTCCTCTTCCCGTTCTGCATTTTCCTCTTCCGACTCCATCTCTGTCCCGAGGACGCCGAAATGCGGAACGTGCAATTTTTGCGCGAGTGACTCATTCCTCGGAGAGGAAAATTGCGGAATCGCTCCCTCGACGCGACTCGACCGTAAAAGGTTTTACGAGGGTCTTCCACCGTTTTACTTATATTTATATTTATTTAATTATTTAAAAACCTGGAACGACCTGTGGGACACGAAACGCCGGTCCTCGCCGCTCGACGAAACTCGAGGCCATTCCCCGTGCGAAAAAAAAAACAAATATTTTCCTCGACGAATCGTGACGGCAACGCTCGCTCGACGGAACCCTCCATGGAACCCTCGACGGAACCCTCGTCCCTTAAAAATTCTAAGGCACAGTTATGAAACGGTGTTCGTCGGCCTCTCGCGTCGGAGGGGAAAAAAGATAATTAATGAGTCGGGGCGGATGACGTGGATGCATACTCGCCATTGTGTTCCGTCTATTGTGTCTGCCTAATGATCCCGACTTTTTCTTCTTATCAATCTTCGGCCGGTTGATACGGGACCTGAGAGCGTCTCCGTCCTTCAGTCTCTTGGTCTTTTCGTCTTTCAGTCTCTTGGTCTTTTCGTCTTTCAGTCTCTTGGTCTTTTCGTTGTCGTGCGGCGATTTTTCGTCGTGAAAAAAATTTTTTTCCCGTGTTTTGTTTTGTATTTTAAAATTTGAATTACATTTAAAATATGGGCTTTACTATGCCTGGTGCGTGTCTTCCTCGTGCTTCTTACTTTGATTTTTTTTTTTCATCCTTTCTCCCCGTTTTGCATTTTCCCGCTCCCTAAATCTCCGAGACCCATCATTTCATCCGCCGTCCTTCCGCGCAGCGTGCATTTTCCGCGCACATTCGCCCTCAGATTACATGGAATTTTTCTTCTCCGCTCTCGATGGAAGGCATGTCGGCCTTCGCTCATGCGAGGGGCAAAAAAAAATTATTCTGAGGCTAATGGCTTTTCGCGTCCGACAACCCCGCCCGACAACCCCGCTCGACAACCCCGTCGTCCGACCCCCCCTCCCCCCTCCACCGATCTAAAAAAAAAAATTAAGCGATACGTTCTTTTCCGGACTTTCGTGCTGTCTCTGGGGGGGGGGGGGGGGGGGGGGGGGGGACGTGAGATTCGCACTTTGCTCAAGTGTTTGCGACGAAGTTAGTGGAATGCTCCGCGGCATCGCCCGGCTGCGCAACTGGCCGGTGTCGCGCTTCGGGCCGTTGTGGCGTTCGTGGCGTTTAACGGTTTCGCGTTCGTCGCGACGTGCACGTGTGGAGTCCCGACCTCGCCGCTTCCCTTTCGGGATTCCTTTTCTTCTCTGCCGACCTTCGCTCGTAGGAGGCTCGAATCTTTGTTTCAAACTCATGCGACAAATGCAAGCCGGGATCACGCGTGCAGGTCGTGCGGAGGCGTCGCCAGTGACGGATGGGTCGCCCCTTCCCCCCCCCCTTCCCTCTTTCTCCCCTCCCCCCCCTCCCCTCCCCTCCCCCCCCTCACGATCTCTTTTTTTATATTTATCCTTTCGTGAGATTGGAATGTGGCCGTGTCGTCGCCCCTCGGTCGCGTGAAAGGCAGACGACTCCATCCACCGAGACGACAGCGACAGTGAACCGCGCGGGTCAGACGACCGCGAGAGCGAGCCGCGAGAGCTAGACGTCCGCGAGAAGTGGACCGCGACGGTAAGACGATGGTGAGAGTGAGCCACGAGTCGTGTGCGCACGTGCAACTCCGCTACTCCGTCCGTCGGTTCAGAGACTTCCTCGTCCAGGACTTGAAGTCCAAGAGGCCGACGAACGGACCGGTGAGTCTTGCAGTCGCGTTTCCTGCCGAAATCGTGCGATCTGGCGTCGCGAGGCGCCGGAACGGCGCTTTCGAAGTAGCTTTGCTGTCGAAATTAATGAAATATTGAGTCGTTGCCGTCCTCGAGTCTTGGGATAAAGAGGATAAAGAGAATAAGGAGGATGGGGGCCTGAGTGCTTCTCCACCCACTCTTTTAGTGTCACTGAGGTTCCTCGAGCGCCGGATGGTTCCGTCCTGGTAGGGAGGAGTGAGTGCTCCGAGGGACGAAGTGCTCCTCTGGATCCCTGTCCTTATGGTTCCCTGTGTCCGCCGGAGGATGCAGGAGGGATGGGAAGGATTTCACCGAGTCTCGGCTGCTGGGGGAGGCGAAGGGTGAGCCTTCGAGTGGTCGGACTCGGTGGGTTTTTTGGTCGAGAACTCCCAAGCTTTTCTTCCAGAGGCCCTCGTGGAGGGGCGAGGGAGCCGAATCGCGAGACGTTTTCTCGCGAGCGGCCGGCCGGCCGGATGTGACGTTCGTGGATCGATGGTATTTCGTGGGAGTGTCGGTTCTTTTTTGGTCGATGACTCTGAGGCTTCCCGATTCGAATCGTTTCGCGAGGACGAAACGTCGGGTGTAAAGTCTTCCTCTGGATATTTTTTTTTCTCAGAGGAAAGAATTTCCGATAGAATCCCTCGATCCTCATCACTTACGATTTCCCTCACGGTCGGCTGGATGGAGTTGCCATCCGAATGCATCCGAGTCGATTGGAAATTCCCGGAATCCCGGTGGATTCGCGTCCCGTCAAATATCGCAGGGTATCGATTTTGCATCACGGTTTCTGCCTCGCTCCCCTCGCGAGAGAATTCTTCCGCGACCCGGCGCGATTTTCGGAGGAATTCGCGAACCGCGACCGTGGATCCGCGGAGGGGTGCGAGGACCATCCCGACATCCACTCGGCTTGGATGGCTTCGCGGATGATATTGCGGGTTTTCGCGATGGCATTTTCGAGTCCAGTGTCGCTTCCTCGTTCCGCCGCGCGGGAGGGCGCCTTCAAGGACCTTATGACCCTTTGAGGACCTTGCGTCCTCGATGGCGATTAAATTTGTTTCTCGATTAAATAGAATCATGGAATTTCCAGGAACTTAGAGAATCGCGGATGATGAGGATGACGAACGCTTCTCGAAGCAGTTATCTTGACTGTACAGAGATGGCGCTAGTGCATTCTCAATTCTGACCGCAGCAGGATCGAATGTCGGCATTTTTGCAACGTAAGAACAAGTTCTAACGGGAAATCGAGGGCTTTTGGGTGATGCATCGCAGGAATTAAGGTTCAAAATTAATATGAAAGGTCATCTGGGTCAGGTCAAAGGTCAAGTCTGAAGAAAAAATTTTAAATATTAGTTAGCGCATCGGCAAAAAATTCCGAATCGAAGGAACTACCGTCGATGAAAATCGGTTGAGTCGGTCTATTCATACTGACATTCCTTAGTAGTCCTTGAGTCCTTGAAGGACCGCTTGGGTAAAGTGGTTTCGGCATTCGGGTATCGCGACCGCGAATGCACGCGGCCCTGCGAGAATCCACGAGGACCGCTCTCGCGGAGGATTCCGATGGTTTCCGCTGCGAAGTTCTCCGATTCCCTCGATTTCGGTTTTCAAGTCGTCATCGTTCCCTCGCGTCTGGTTTCGATGGCCCCTCGATGGGCTCGATGGCCCCTCGATGGCCCCTCGAAGGTCTCGTGGTTCTCGATCGTGCGAGATGGGTTTCTCCATTTCTGGGTCCTTCGAAGCCGGCGTGTTTGGACTTGGGAAACAGTTTATCCGGATTTCCAGGGTACAAGGCGGAGCCTGTTGCGGCGAACCGTCAAGAGACCATCGTCGGTGGACGATGGGCTTCAGCATGCCTGCAGATAATGTAAGCATTCCGAGCGTCTCCGGGAATCTCGTTGCTCTCTGGTTCGTTTCCGCGTGTTTTAGTGCATGATTTGACATCGATTTCCGCAGTAGCATTTCCCGCAGCAGCGTTTTCCGCTGTCGCATTTTTTGCGAAGGTGAAAAGGAACTCTTCTGAGGTCGACTCGTTCCGTTTCTGTTAAGCGGCCGGCAACCAAAATGCACTCTCGATTTATTTTGAAATTCTACCCTGAATCTATCATCTCCGATTTTCCGAGCTGTCTTCCCGAGCCAAGCCAGGCATTTTTTCCGGCAACGCTCGAATCGCTTCATTCCGAACGAGTTGGACACGTGGGTACCGTGTCGCTACCGTGAGAGTTTTTTGAGATGAAGATGCCCTCGGGTGTTTTTAGGGATTCCTGCTGATTCTGAGAGGGTCCGACTTCAAATGCCAGATGAGCTCATTCCCGTTCAGCTTGGTTCAGTCGATTGTCTTCGCATTCGGCCGAATCCAATCCGTTTTGAAAAGAGCTCGATTTCTATGCTTTCCCTTTGTGTCCGCGAATGGCCTCGTTAGCATGTTTTCCCTCTGCGTCCGCTATCTTTTGTGTCCGGTTTATTCCCCTGCGGCCGGACGAGGAGGCGAGGGCAATCGGCGACCCTCCGGAATTGCCCTCCTCGGTTGGGAGGAAAATTTCACGGAATCGGATTGGGGTTCACGAGGGATGTCATTTTCGAGCGAGGAGCCATAAAGGATGGAAGCACCGGAGAAATCCATCGCGAAACAAGGTGAAGGCGGTCAGGTGAAGGCGGTCAGGTGAAGGCGGTCAGGTGAAGGCGGTCAGGTGAAGGCGGTCAGGTGCTTCGTTTCCCACCAAGGTTGCAAACGAAGCAAGGAGAAACAAAGTTCTCTTCATCCTACCACGAAGACTCTGGAAAGCATTGGGAAACGGTGCAGGCACGAGTGCAGTGGTGCAGTAGTGCAGGAGTGCAGGCAGTGCAGGGCATCCGTGCAGACTCGGAGCAAGGAACGCTGCGGAAAAGTCACGTCCATCCCGCCGTATCCTGGCCGAGACACAGCCCGGATTGTATATAGAGTCATGCACACACACACACACAGACAGACAGACAGACACACACACACACACACACACACACACAGATCCCCTTCACTCCCAGGTGCCTTCTCGTTTGGGTTCCGCGTCCCCGTCTACCGGATACGAGATGCTTCCGAGAACACCCCCCTAAAAGGCTGAGATGTCGCAAACGTCAAGGATCCCTTCCTTTTTTTCTTTTCCTTTTTTTTTGTTTGAAGCGCAAGATCGATTACAACTGGAAGATCCCTCGCGAGACGTCCGTGTATGGAGCCCATTCACACAGTGTTGACAGGAGGAAATTCTCCCCGCCAAATGTTTTCCCAGCGAAGAGTTCCTTCCCTCTTGCATCTCCGGTTAAGAATTTTCCAAACGATTCCCGCCCAAAAGTGTACGACGAACGGAACAGGATCCTCGTTCCCCCTCTCCGAATCCCCGTTCCCCCTCTCCGAATCCCCGTTCCCCCTCTCGGGAGCCCCGTTCCCCCTCACCTTAGAGGCTCCTCCGTGATCCAGCCCGGGGAAGAGATAGAAGAGACAGAGATAAAAGGTTACTCGACTAATTGAACCGGCCGAGCCGCGGGGATCCAGGAAGAGCCAAGAGGATCCATGAGGAGCCAGGAGGAGCCACGAGGAGCCAAGTATCGATCCCATGCCATAAATCCCTCGAACGCATCCACCTGTTCCCTCGTCATACCTTTCTTAGCGCTTGGGCTCCCGTTCACACGGCCCGTGTTTGTTGTCATTACTCCCGTCCCCATTCGAGGCCTTTCCGGAGAAGCACCGCGAACATAAACAAACGAAGTAAACAATCGGGGTAAACAATCGGAGTAAACAATCGGGGTAAACAAACGGGGTAAACGCAGGGGAATTCCTCGCGAAGGTTCGATGTCATTCGATCGATGGCGGATCGTGTTGCCCTCCCGCGGTTGCCCTCCTCTGGTTGCCATCCTGTCACCTCCAGGACGACATGTGCCAGTTCGCTCTCTCGCAATCGGGTCGACCCCCCTCTCTCTCTCCCTCCGTGGAACGAGTAGCATGTTTCGACTGTGCGCCGGCGGTCGGAGGAAAGAGTTCGTCGTGAGTCACGCCTTTTTCTTTTCTCCTTTAAATTTCTTTTAAATTAAAAATGTTTTAATGAGGCGTGACTCGGTCTCGTCCCCGTTTCGCCCTTCGCACCGGGGTGGTCCGACGACGAAAAGGGTCGATTCGAAAGCCGTGTCGTGTGGCGATCGTCGACGCGATTCGAACTCCGTGAGCCGAGACGATCGAAAGGAGTCGGAGCAATTCTGTCCTGTGCAAAATTTATGCGGAGGCTCATGCGTATTTTACGCGCATGAATTTGTCAAAGGCCCCGCGGGACGTGTCCGCAACTATTCTCGGTCCAAGGGCAAGGGCAAGGGAAGGGCAAGGGCAAGCAAGTTGAAAGGCTTTTCCTGCGTTCATCTACGTTCAGGCTACGACGTAATTAATCGACTGTGTCACCGATTTCGTCACGGTTTCGCTTGAGATTCCGCAAGGTCCTATTCCCCCCCCCCCCCCCCCCCCCCCTTTTTTTTTTTTTTACTCCGATTGTTTACCCCGATTGTTTACTTCGTTTGTTTATGTTCGCGGTGCTTCTCCGGAAAGGCCTCGAATGGGGACGGGAGTAATGACAACAAACACGGGCCGTGTGAACGGGAGCCCAAGAAAGACGATGAGGAAAATAAAAACGGAAAAATAAAACGGAAAAACCTGGGAAGGGAACGGAAGCGAGCGAACCGGCTCCTCTCCCCTAAACAGGACGGCAATCCAGCCGAGAGATGAGATGCTTTTGGCGGGACAATTTGACTGCACAATGGTGCCGTTCAGCCCGGTGCGTTCCTCCCCGAGGAATCTCGAGCCGAGCCAGAATTCCGCGGTGAAACAGTGCCTCTTTGTTTTTGCATCTGCTCGGCGTGTGTGGGCACCAGCTCGGCACGAAGAGCCAGTGATTCTTCACCGATAGCGATTCTTAAGCTGCTAATTCTTCACCGATAGCGAATCTTAAGCTAATAATTCTTCACCGATAGCGAATCTTAAGCTAGTAATTCTTCATCGACAGCGATTCTTAAGCTAATAATTCTTCACTGATAGCGAATCTTCAGCTAATAATTCTTCATCGACAACAATCCTTGATTCTTCAATGACAGCTATTCTCAAGCCGAAAAAGAAAGTCTGGTCTTGCAGATGAAACTTTCACCTTCTCTGACCCCTTCGATGCCCCCTCTCCCCCCTCAGGTGAACCCGGGGAGCAAGGCGGCGAAGGGAGGGCTGAAGGATGGTCACGTGATCCGGGGGATCAACGGGACGCCCACGTCGGGGATGACGAATCGGGACGCGCATGCGGCCATCAAGGACTCGCCGAACACCTTGCTGCTCACCGTCGCCTCGTCCGTTTCCGTCGTTGTTTTCGGGGTCGATCGATCGACACGCGATCGGAAACCATTTCTTGGCCAAACATTGAGTACTTTGTTGATAATTTTTACAGTACTGCGGTTTCTAATAGTGGCTGTTCCAAATCGATTAAAAGTGGTTCCTTTGGACGCATTCCAAACGAAGCGACTCGATTCAAAGTTATGAATTTTATTATGTAAAAAGAACGTCGAAAGGTGACCGGGAAAGAAATCGCGACAAAAGAGTTGAATATTTTCCCAACCTGCGCGATTTCTATCTCTCATCCTGGAATACAGAGAGCATTGAGAAAGGAGAGAAGTTTTGAGCAAAGTTCAAATTGAATGAAATAGTTGCAAGCCCAGAAAACTCTTTCGAGAGCTGATCAAGATGAGGAAGTCGGACGAAATCTCAACAATTTTCCGGGAAAACCAGAAAGATTCAAAGTTAGTGGAAAACACGAAGTGAGATCTCAGCTCTTCGCCAGGAAAAAAGCTTTTCCGATCATTTTTCTTCCCTTACATCGCGCTTTTCAACAGAATAACACGAGGAACATGGTTTTCGATTTCCGGAAGCAGAGTTCCCTTTAAAATAGGGGCCGTTTCCCGATCGATTTTGGCTTTGAGTGGCATGCGTTGAATAAGATATCTCTCCCCCTGCCTCTCTTCATCTTCTTCCTTAAAAATTTCATCCCTGGCAGCCCAGTGACGGAATCGTCTCCAGAGACCCCGAGCCCGAACGAGGATCCCTCGGTCTTCGCCACCATCAAGCCGAGATACTATCATTCTTCAGTCACCGTCAGCCATAACCCCAGGCCCTGTGAGTCCCCTCCGTCTCCATCAGCCGCGATCCCAGGCCCTGTGAGTCCCCTCCGTCTCCATCAGCCGCGATTCCCCAGGTCCTTCGAGTCCCCTCCCTCACCGTCAGCCGCGATTCCCCAGTTCCCGAAAGCGCATGGCCCTCTCATTTTCTCCTCCCTTCGTTTTCTCCTCCATCGTAAAAACATGGTGTAAATTAGCACAGTGTAGAGATTTAGACGGTGGGGTGCCTGAGACCCCATGTCGCGCTCCATTCATGAGGCGCAATTCATTTATAAACATTCTACCTTTTAACTATTAACAGGGATTCCCCCAGCTCATCCGTTTTAACAAGTTTGTGCAAGCAGGAAGAGGTGGGGAAAAAGGGAAAAGGGGGCATTAAAGTCTACCTGTTGGATCTGCTCTTCCTTAAGGAGAGAAAACAATGAGAGAAATTCAAATTATCACGCCTTTTGTGTTCTGCTTCCGGTTGGTCTGTGAGTCCATCAGCAAGTACGTAATGTTCTGCGCAGATTGTGATTGAATGAGGGGCAATCGCGCTTTAATTTGATGTTTTTTTTTTTTTTTTTAAACTGACGTGCTTATGTGACTTGGATTTTATTTTAAAGTTATTTTATCCTTGCTACAGGAGTAGACTGTCGTCGTGCAATAGGGACCGAAGTGTTGCAAAATTATTTGCAAAAGCAAGCAAAGGTGATTTTGACGAGCAGACTGTCAAGGCAGCGGTGACTTTCACGAGAAAGGAAATTTTTGGCTTCGAATCACTCTTTCGAAATTGCTTTTTTAATTTTGGTTTTACGCGATTTTTTAAAATTAACTAATGGAATTAATGGGAGCATTAACTTTGAAGTTTTCAAGGTTTCTGTGGGTTGAATATGAGTTTCTGAACAGTCAAATTTTTTCCGAAAAAAATTCGCCCACACTCTCCCCGACATTTGAAGACCATTGTCCAGTCCAGTGGACCCATTGTCCAATCCAGTGGACCCATTGTCCAAATTTTTTCCTTTTTCCCACTCTTCTGCAAATGAGATTCCTACCAGTTTGCCATAAAACGGTTAATAATAATAATACTAATTGGAATTGTCAGCTGGGAACCTAGGAGTGAAAATTCCTCAGTCTTTTCCACCGAGAACAAGCAAAAGCGATCTATTTCATCTTCCTTCAAAGACCTTTAGAAAAAAGTCGGCCTGAGCGTCTTCTTGGGGCACAGCCCTGTTCAGCGGTTCGATAGAAAATCTAAATTCTGCAAAATACTCGAAGAAGAGAGGCGGAGGAGAAAGTGGTTAGTAAGGAGATAAAAAGTATCATTTGGGCCAGAATAGGGAAAGAGGAATTCAAAAACATTTTCCTCTTTGTCCATGAATTATTTCCATTTCCTCTATTGAATTCTGTTGCACGCATTCCCTCTTCAATTGGCTGGCTCATGGGTCGAAACTCTTAAATGTGTAATGGGGATGGAAATCCTGCAACAGCGACCGTTGTCTCCTTCCGGTGGAATGAACCCCAACCGCAACCGTCTCAACCGGATTCATGTTGTCTCTCCACCCCGTAGATGTTAACCGGATCCTTAGACACGGACCTCCTTCTCCCTAACCATTCAGGGATGTAAGCCATCCCTCGTACCCTTGAACCCGAGCCGTCCCTCCTCTAATTCCGTCCGCCCTGGCTGCGTTGCAGTGATCTACTCCCCTTTCACCGCTGGGCGCACTTTCCTTCGCCTTTTCGACGCTTTTTTTTTATTTTAGCGAAACGGGACACTTGCGGGGTTTCGTGAGCGGCTGGGATTTCGGGCAGTTTCTCGGCCTGAAATTTTCAGTCGGCTGGTGGAAAAAGCCGGAACGACTCTGCGAAACGATTCAGGCATTTCGCCCGAGAATTTTCGGTCGGTCGCGATGAACGTGACTTTGGCCTTCGCGGCCTTGTTTGTGGAAGGGTTTGCGCCCACCTGTCGCTGCGGTCGTGCGACCGTCGGCCGGGGCCACGCCCACCTGTCGCCGCTTTCGTCCGTTATCGACTGCTGCGACTCGGAAAAACTTTTCGGAAATGCCACGAGGTCGCTGCGCCGAGCAAAACGAGGTCGTGTCAAAAGAGAGGGAAAAAAAAGGAAAAAGGACAAAAAGGAATAAATTTGAGCGTCGGATGTGATGAAAAAAAGAAATCCATTTGTGATCCACATGGGAAAGAGTCGTAAGAGCTTTTTCTAGTCCACTCGTAGAGATTCCCCAGGAGAGAAGACCCGGAATTTGTAGAAGACGTAAGGACAAGGACGCAGAAGAAAAGGAAGGAAGCCCTGGAAAAAAAAAAAGATGGCCTGAAAAAGACAGGACTTCCCTCTTGACTCCGATTATCCCTTCACCTGCGACGACGGTGATGACGGTGCAGCCAGTCACTGTGATTCCGGGGGATTTTTTGGCATGAAAGGGCGGGAGGAGGAGTCGAGAGGCTTTCGGCCAATTTTCGGCCAATTTTCTGCCGTCCGCCTTCTGCGCCTTTTTTTTTTGCATCCGCCTTCGGATTCCTTTTCTTCGGATTCCACTCGGCGCGTGCTCATTCTCTCGAGTGCCGTCGCCCCGTGTCTTTCGCTTCTCTCTCACGTATGCCATTTTCTTCTTTTTTTTTTCTTTTTGTAGATTTTTTCGCGGTTGTTCTGGGGTTTCGCGGGCGATTCGTTACTCGCTGTCCTCGGCTCGAAAAAACGTTTAAGAGTTTTTTTTTTGCGGCTTTCGCGTGGATGCGCTTTCCGAGATTTCCCGTTCGCATTCCGCGGTCTTTCGATCGCGATCCAAATATCTGACGACTCGATCGATACCCGACGTCACCCCTGTCGTCTTGTCGTCTTGTCGTCAGACTCTTGGCCAAACTTCGACCATCGCGCGTGTCTTTCACGCGGACGGTACTCTCGTACATGTCACTATAATTAATATATATAATTAAGAGAATTAAAAGAAAGGCTCCGACGAATCCAGTCGTTTTCGGCCCTTCTGGCCGTCTCGTTTTCGGCCCATCGTTTTCTGCCCTTTCGGCCCTTCTGGTTTTCTTTTCCTTTTCTTCTTCACTCTCCTCGTTTCGAATTTTTTTGGTGGGCTCGTCGCCCCACATTCTCATGCTTCGTCGATCGAGAAAGAACACAGGGCCAAGAACCATCTCGACTCGATTCCGTCTCCAATTTTTTTTTTTTCCAGGCTGCGCCGTGTCGCCGAACGGTCGAGGTGGTAAAGTCAGATGTCGCTCTCGGTCATGGGGGATGTCGACCTCGATCACGGGAGATGTCGCTCTCGATTATGATTTCGGTCTAATAATGAAAATTCGATCGGTTAAATCAATCGTGATATTTCGATCATGAAGGAAAAGTATACTCAGACCGGGGAATTCTCTTGCTCGTTTCCGTGTTTTGCAAAAACGTGCGAGACGGTGCGCGTGTATTTTATTTGCATGGGGACTATTTGCAGTTTTTAGCTGATTCCGGGAATTTTTTTTTGCGGCCTGTCGGATCCGGTGCGTCGATGAGACCGGACGCTTCGCCTCGTTTCGAGTTTCTTTGGCAAAATCGCAATCGCGACGTCGTTTGCCGATCGAAGGAAAGCGGAGCAGCGTGAAGAAATAGCGTTTTCGGCGTCGACGAGCCGCCATTTTTTGGCACCCTGGTGAGACTCAGGGGGAGTCAAGGGAAGTCAGGGGGAGTCAGGGAGTCACACCGTCGAGGTTTTTTTCCTCCCCCAAATCGTGGGCGAAGACATCCGCTCCAAACCTGTCCGGTCGATCGTGTAAGCTCCTTTTTCCGGGTGGAGGGGGAAGAGAGAGGGGGCAAATGGAGGGGGGGGGGGGGGGAGGGGGGGGGGGGGGGGGGGGG